GCATCGCCTTGAAATGAAAAATTCGTGCAGGATCTTTTACAGTGTCTTTTAGAGAGTCCCAAGGAACAAAAAATGTCGGAATCGGTTTCCCGAGAAACGATGGGAAAGTTGTCAAAAATACGTTCAAAGTATGAACCTTCGTATATTTTACATTTCGTCGTCTTCCTCTTCGGATATCGAACTGTCCTCGATATATTTAACGACTTTTTATACGTTCTGCGATTGAACGTGTCCCTTAGTTCAACGTGTCAATTCTTATTTCGAAGACGGTTCGATGTCCGAAGAAGAAGAGGACGACGAAATGTAAAATACACGTAAGTTCCGTTATCGTCGCGTTCATACTTTGAACGTATTTTTGACAACTTTCCCATCGTTTCTCGGGAAACCGGTTCCGACATTTTTTTGTCCCTTGGGAGACACACTAAAAGATCCTGCATGAATTTTTCATTTTCAGGCGATGCAAAAAATGGCCATTTCTTAACACCCTCCTTTCTAACACGAAACGTTTCCAGGTATGTGCTCGACGACCAATACACCAGTAGCGGTGGTACCAAATTCCCAATCAAATGGGCGCCGCCAGAGGTCTTGAACTACACCCGCTTCAGCTCTAAATCGGACGTCTGGGCCTACGGAGTACTCATGTGGGAAGTATTTACGTGTGGAAAGATGCCTTACGGTCGCCTAAAGAATACCGAAGTAGTAGAAAGAGTTCAACGAGGAATCATCCTAGAGAGACCCAAAGCCTGTTTCAAGGAAGTTTACGAGGTTTGTCACAGAGACACTTTGTAAGACTGTACCGACCGATTCTGAACACTGGCAAACCAAATTAAACCAAATTATGCGGGGATACTTTTATTCTTTCTGGTCGTGGTTGTTAACGCTTTATCTACCGGGCTATTTGGAAACAGTCTTTAATTCAAAAAAGAATCATCTACGGTACCATATGCCAATCTAAGCTGGCAATAGTTCCTCCGTACGTGTTGCTAGGTACATTGTATGTTTCCAAGTATGTTACCAAGTATGTTTCCAAAAATTGAACAATGTAAGTAGACAACCATCGACACGGTAAATAAATTCGAAAAGGTTCCTTCCAGCGACTATACCACTGTACCACTCTGTACCATCTTCGAACGACTATCCAATCAGTCAACGAATTGTTGCAGGTAATGCGAAAATGTTGGGCACATTGCCCGGAAGTGCGACCATCCTTCCGCGTTCTGAAGGAACAGCTCATCAGCGTATCTCAAGGTCTGCTCAATGATTGACTCAACCTCCTACGGTGTATGCGCCTATCGTCGCCTTCGAGCAGGTCAATACAAACAGCGAAATCTCCGTCGCTCGAGCGATCGCCCTCGATTCTACCATCCTCGAACTCCTCATCGTCGTACAACTCGGCCACATTGCCGTCGTCGCGGAAAACACGTGCGCCAGCCTCTCTGCCGCCCTCGGTCGATTTTCTACACCTGTCGTCATCCACGTGTAAACCGAAGAAAGAAGGGTCATCCTCACCGAGTACACCTGGCCACCAACCTAGTCAACCATCGTCAAGCTCGTCTAACGTCTGTGACATTTGCAGTTCCTACGGACATCCGTGGATTGAAATTTGCAAGGCGATACGAGCCACTAAAGGCAAATAATTTTTCTTTTTCTTTTTGTGAATGCGTGTGTGTGTGTCCCGAAATACGTGTGTCGTCAACTTCAAACGACTGTAACGCAGCTTACAACGCGACAGAATTTATACCGATACGTTATTTCAATCTCCAACGCCACACTCCTAAACGTCTCGATCCCTTTTCCATCGTCCCACTCCTTCCTCCGAATCTCCCCCGTTATTAAATACTGATACTTCAAATGTTGTTTTCTTTTTCTTTCTTTCTTTCTTTCTTTTCTTTTTTTTTTTTCATTTTTGTTCTCGTCAAACAAAGATCCGAGTGCGTGATATTTTTGCGTTTCGCATACTAGTTTTTCCCCACTCCGGTACGATTTACTTTCAGTCTCTTTCTTCCATACAACGATATGGATGCATTTACGAATAGTACGGTAGTATTTATTGAGTGTCCTTAAACGGACACAGCTAGTAAGTTGTGAGTTTTCCGTAGGAGCATATACTGGTCCCTTTTGTTATTGACTTTTTAACGAAACAGTAACATTACTCTACGATGAAAAGCATTATTTCTGCTTAACGAATGAATTTAATAAATGAATGTCTCACTTGTGTATTATATACTATGACAATTTAATAAAATAGAATAAAGAAAGAAAGAATTAGCGGAATTATTTATAGGTTTAGGATATCCCGATAGCGGAATCCGAACGATCGGGGAAACGTGATCGAACCTGTCCCCGCGACGAGATGTTTTCGAGCGAAATACACGACACCGACACTTTTTCTGTTCCTTGTTTTCTATGCTCAATTACCCAACGAAAGCTACTCGTTGGTAGAATAACGTAATACGATACTTTGAACGACCGATGTCGTCACGTTTTCGAAGGTTTTCTTAAAAACATTTTTTATGGCTATCGAGCTTACAAATACATCGCCAAAAAAAAAAAAAAAAAAAAAGAGTTCTACCTACTGAATTTATCCGAATCGGTGATCTTAGCAATTATCAGATTCAATCAAAAGTTTGATGACGATTGTCGAATCATTATTATCAAAGGCACGTAGAAATAAAATAGAAGTAAAATAGAAGTAAACTTACTTGTACGAAAAGAAGGTGGAAATACTTTCTCACGAACGCCATCAGTATTCTCACTAATATGTACGCTCCCCGAGTAATTTTAATTGCGTTAAGTAAAACATTTCATTGCTAGTATAACGTTATTCGAACGCTACGTTATGGTAACACTTTAGACGTACGATACTGTTCATTCGGACTAAGATTATAAGAGATTTTTACGGAGGCACATTTGCGCGGTATGGAAACTGATCGCTGAATGGGCGCGAATTTCAAAGTGAGCGTCTTACTTCGATCACGTGGATGCGCGCGCATCCTTCGAGAGACCAGCCCACCTTCAATTCCAGCTAGGTCCTACCTAACCTAGCAAACTTGTGACACACGATTCGTAAACTTACAAACTTAAAAGCAATTACTATGTATAATTCGTGTATAAGTGTAACTCGTGATTTATAAGAATTGTCACATTCTTTTTCGAAAAGGAGACGACATAATAAAATAGATGCGAAAAATTAGTATACGTGTACTGTTTTACACCATTTGATATTTACGAGTATATTAGGGTTTGAAATGTTCAAACTGTAAAGTAAACAAGTGATAAACATGCGATTTGTTATCAGTTTTACTAACATCAGATACTGCAGGTAATAAGAGTAAATAAAATGATGTATATCGAATAAACCATTCGAAGTAAATGTGATTTAATTTGTAGCCATCTGTAATAAAGAGTTTTTCTTTTAGTATTAATTCTAGATAAATTATACTGTACTGTTACGTGTCCTTCCACGATAAGTGTTAGAAATGTGTATTATAAATTTACACCGATTGATATAATAATTTTTGATCAAATAAAATTTAAAAGAGAACAAATTTTTTTGTCGCCCTTCCTTACCTCGTCGGAAATATGCCTGTTTCAGAAAACAATTTGCAATGAGCCTCAGCACAATGGCAAACCCGTTAATTGCGGTGTGTCAAATGACATCGACAAACGATAAAGAAAAAAATTTACAAACTGTACGCGAGCTTGCTGCAAAAGCTAAATCTCGATCTGCTTGCGTAAGTACGCGAGATACTTTAATTTAATTCTTGGTTATTGATCTTCGTTATGAAAGTGTCTGGAATATTTGATAGATTGCATTTTTTCCCGAAGCATGCGATTACTTAGCTGATAATAAGAAGGATACGATAGCTATGGCGCAACCCTTAAGTGGACCAACTGTAACATGTTACAAAGACATTGCAAAAACTAACAAGATTTGGCTATCGTTAGGTGGATTGCACGAGGCGGTGAGATATCTTAAAGATACAGTATTTACATTGATCTTTTCACACTTAATATTTTATTGTAATCGCGTTTACAGTTACCCGATAACGAACACCGAATAAGTAATACTCACGTTGTAATAAATAGCGAGGGCGAAATTGTCGGTACTTATCGTAAAGCCCATTTGTTCGACATGGACAATAAAAACACGGGAGTTCGATTAATGGAATCGGATTATGTCTTACCAGGAGAAAAAATTGAGCCGCCTATAACAACGCCGATTGGCAAATTAGCGCTTAGTATTGTATCCTTTATACGTAAATGTAATACTTTTTTCTCAAATATGAATAACTAAAGATACTTAGCCGGAAAATTAGTGTTACGATATGCGCTTCCCTGAATTATCTCTTACATTGAGGAACATGGGAGCGCAAATTTTAACGTACCCATCAGCGTTTACGTACCAAACAGGTGCTGCACATTGGGAAATAATACTACGTGCTCGGGCAATAGAAACACAGTGTTATGTTGTAGCTGCAGCTCAAACTGGTGCGCACAACAAGAAAAGAGTTAGCTGGGGTCATGCTATGGTAAACAATTTTATTAACGGTGTGTAGTATTATATAACGTTATCGTTTATATCAATTATGACATTTTCCTAGGTTATAGATCCGTGGGGAACAATATTAGCGCAATGTAGCGATAAAACTGACATAGCTCTAGCGGAAATTGATTTGAATCATATGCAACAAATTCGAGAGAATATGCCATGCGAAAATCATCGTAGAACAGACTTGTATCCCAAGATGGAATCGTTAAAATAGCCATCTTAGGTATCGTGTAAATACTAAGTATACACGCAACTATACATAACCTCTCTTATATTTAATATATATACAAGTGTTTATTCCAGGGTATTAGTAACTAGATAACAATAAAAATTATTTGTTATCCATTTTTTTTAATATTTTGTATATACAGTATTTATAAACTATTATAAATATTTTGTATATATATTCATTGTTTCCATATACGAGCGAATGCTCGTGCTCCATTCGTTATGTAGTAAATAATTAAAAATTAATGAATTCGTGTTATATGTAAAACGAACATTTATTATTACGCAACTTAGTGTACATACCATTTAATAATTTATAAATATTAAATACAAATACCTGCTTGTACTTTAAAAGTGCAAATAAGTTTATATTTTATAGATGAAGACTAATGAAACAGGAGATAGAATATTTCAAATCATAAATAACGTCTTATTTCTTGTGCTTGCTAAAACTATTAGTTTGTTTAATATTTTTTAAAACTTAAATTACTAGTAGCGTGTTTCTTTTACTTGCTACCTGTACAACAAACGATAATAAAAGTTAAAAAACGATCGTAATTTTACGCAGTCTATCGTCGTGAATATTTACGCACTTTCATTGGTATCTGTCCTTTGAGATCCTATCAGGTCTGCTTCGACACCCTGTAATGCCCAATTATGTTCATATATTTCCAATGCTTCCCACTCTGATTTGAAAGCAGCTTTTGGATCTGGTGGCATAGACATAGCAGCACCGGATACTTGATCTTGCTGAAGTCTAAAGGCATCTGCAGCATTGCTTTCTCCAAGAACAAGGGTGTAAATAGAACGCAGTCCAAACACATTAAGGAAATACCAAGATGCAGATGAAACCCATGCAGCATCAAGAGTAACTAATTCTATACCACGTTGTAACATTGGTTTGAAACGCAATGTCAAAGGAAATGGCACTTTGGCTGAAATATAGATACAGAAGATTAAGAACCTATCAAAAAATTGTGGTTTCACAATTAATCTATTTACTTGTAACAAAGCCAGATAACATCCAATTGATCCATCCACCTATGAGTACAGTTGGCAAAACATTGGTTACATTTCCTTTTAACATATCTATCATCATGTTAGGATCCGTCATTGGATTCTGTGCAACGGGAGCACGCTTTTGTGTTTTGAAATACCCTGTTTCTTCGTTATTAAAAAAATGCCTTCTACTGATAAATGCCATTTTCGGAATATATTGACCATTTTCTCGAAGTAATCTAGATCGTATCATCACTTGACTGGGGAACATTAAAACAACGTAAGCGGGGAGTACATAATTTGATTACTTCGAAATGCAAGGTGTAAAATAATTACCTGTCTTGCACTTGATGAACCTCGACTTTCTTCTGCGAGGCAAGTAGTATCGAAACATAATGACGGATGATTCCTACGAGAAACGTAATCACAACAATTGGCAAAAACACCCAACCCCGAATGTTTGGATCTAAAAGCAACTCAGCCATGCCGCTTGCTGCTGTTTCAAAATTTACACGGAGGAAAGAAGAAAGATAAAAAAACCAAACAGCCCAAAGAACATTTTACGAAGATAAGAATGCTTGTCGATGCCGCGTTTACGTTTCACCAGTCACTAGCAATTACGCGAGTAACTAGAAACAATGCTGTTTCGAATTGTATAAAATTATATTGATAATCTTATCAGAATTTATATTATAGTGTTGTAAAGCAAAGAATGGTATCAATTATGCATTTATGAAAAATAAAGTATAGTTTATTAAAATGTAGTGCCATCTAACGACAACAGTAGGAACTATTTTCACTATAGACTTGGACGTTTTGCCACCGATTGCGCCGCTGGTATAAAAACCCGCTCACTGAGCGGCTTACTGAGCGGTGACGCTCCTTATTAGAAATGGGCGACAATTATTTTGAACGTTTAGTACTCTAATCTTTAGGTTTTAGCAACACTTATTAGTTTTTAATTATCTTTAGTGTGGTGTGCATGATATGAGATTGTGTGTGCTAGACTGTATTAAATGTCTAGTCACAATTTGTACTTTTTTATCTAATAGATTAGTTTAATCGTGATATACGTCTATCGTACAATTTAAATATTTCTTTAGACATGGCAAATATTACCAGACGGAAAAACCAAAGACCAAGCATTTGGAAAAGCACGTAAGTGAAATATTTATTCTATAATGTTAACGTAATTTCATACTTTGTCACGTTTTAGGCATTGCACTAGCTTTGGTTTGTCTGGGCAACTATTACCTTTGCAAGAGTTTAAAGTGCCTCCTGATTTACAAAAAGCATTAAAGAACCATTTTAAAGAAAGTCCTGAAGATAGTAAATTATGTAGAGATTATATAAAACTTATTATTCATGAATTTCCAAATATGAAAAAAATAAAACCAGAACATTATTTGGTATTATTTAAAATTTTTCTATATATGGAAGATCATGAACTTAAGTTACTTGCGGCAGAGTATAATTTAAAAAGTCAGTCACTCAAGCAGCTTGCCCTAAATAAATGTGTTATCGCTATACCTAAGTTAGACGAAGATGATCCGTTTATAAAAATTGGTGATATGGTAAAAATTCAGGATATAAGTGGAGCATATACATGTAATTGTCCAATAATAGATATTGAAGGAAAGAATGTAATTTGTGAAATTAAACAGTAAGTATAAATATGTATAAATAATGTTTACTTAATATATTACAAGAAGTAATACAAATTTCTAAACATTATTTAGGAATCATATGGATCTTGCGAAAACCTTAGTCAATGTTCATTTTTGCAAACAAAATTTGACAATAAAGTATTGTCATTTTATTTTACACATGATAGATAAATATAATTTGATTGATTTATTGTATCCCAAAATAAATACAAACCATTATGTGTTACCACAAGTGTAAGTTCTCTAAAATAACTCACCTTTTTATATTTATGTTACATTCTTATTTAATTATCTTTCTATATAGTACCTTAGATTGGGTTCAAAAAACTGTAGCAAAAAATCCAGAACAAAGAGAGGCTGTGATAAATATTTTAAATAATTCAGCACATCCTGCACCATATGTAATATTTGGTCCACCTGGTACTGGAAAAACAACAACATTAGTTGAAGCCATTTGTCAGGTATAATCCATTTAGTGCAATCTGTGGTACTGTATCTAATCTGTGGTATCTATCTATATAACTGAAGAGTATGTTTAATATTTTATTTCAATATTTTTATCATTTTATAGATTAGAAACCAACACAGGACCAAAAATGTTCTAGTATGCGCATTTTCCAATGCAGCTGCAGATGAAATTGCAAGAAGATTGATAACTTTACTTCCTTCTAAAGATATATTTCGGATGTATGCAGCATCTATGCATTGGTAAGATATTACAAATTGGTTTGTATGAGTAATTAATATTATTACTTTCTTTTTTTCATGTACAGGGAAGATGTTGACAAAACTATTGTTCCTAATTCAAATTTCGTTGATGATAAGGTGCTTTATTTGCCTAAGGATATTTTTATTTTGAAAAAAATAGTTATTGTAACGTTGATGACATGTATGAGGTATGTTTTTGACTTTTTTTTTTGTTAATATTGTTAGTTTAGTAATAGCTATATAATAGTATTTACGATGTGTAGGCTGGTAAGCCTTAATTTAAGAAGCGATCATTTCTCATATATATTTATCGACGAAGCAAGCCAAAGTACCGAATTAGAATCATTGGTTCCATTTACACTAGCATGTTCGCAAAATAAGAAGAGTTCTGTGGCAACATTAAATGCTCAAATTATTATTACTGGCGATCCTTATCAACTGGGACCAATTGTTCGGTGTAAACAAATTAACCACTTACTTGGTAAGCGAATGTATATTTCATATTTGTTTAAACACTATCATTCATCTCGATAAGATTTAATTATATCTTTAGGAAAGTCGCTATTAGAAAGATTAATGGAATGCGAACCATATCAAAAAGTGGACAATAAATATAATTCACGATACATAACAAAATTAATTCGCAATTACCGTAGTCTAGAACCTATCTTACATGTGTCCAATAAATTATTTTATGAAAATGAATTGTTATGTTGTAAAGAGCCAAGTACAAACAAGATAAATTTAAACTGGTCGGTAATGGCAAATAAAACATTTCCTATATTATTTCTTGCAGTAGATGGTAAAGAAAAACGAACTGAAAATAAAAGGTAATTGCAACATTGTACTTTGATATTATTTATAATGTTCGTAATTAATTTAAGAAAATATTTTTTGTACAATGTATAACAGAAATGAAATGCATTATTTTGTAGTGTTTATAATTTAGAAGAAATTGCGATTGTTGGATATTACATAAAGAAATTATTGGATGCCAAAGTTAAAGAAAAAAATATTGGTGTTATAACGCCATTCAAAAAACAAAAAGTTATGATTTATAAGTATCTAAACGAACATGGTTTGAAGGATATAACTGTTGGAACAGTAGAAGTATTCCAAGGACAAGAGAAAGAAGTTATAATTTTAACTACTGTGAGATCTGAATCATTCAAACATGATGGTAAAGAACACATTGGTTTCCTGTCAAATGCAATGGTATGAATTTATATAATATCCAAATGAAGTAGTTTGAATAATCAATGTAGTTTCTTTAATATTTCATTTTCTTTTAGAGATTCAATGTTGCTGTAACAAGAGCAAAGAATTTGTTAATAGTAGTAGGAAATCCAACTGTTCTATGCAAAGACAAATGTTGGAAAGCTTTATGGGATTATTGTGATAAAAACAATGCATGTAGCATTGTAGACGTTGTGGGTTTTTGATAAGTATTAAAGTGCAATTACACGTATAGTATTAAACTTAATTATATAACATACTATCTTTTTACGACAAGATAGTAAGATGTATTTAAAGAATTTGAGCTTAACCATTTTTTAATTAGATTTAACGAAAAAGACTATTATATGATAAATATTGTTGTTACATACATATTAAATTTGATATTACATTTTTACTCGTCGGCCAGTAACTCAATCGTAACAAACCAATAGAAACATATATGTATATATATATAATTAAATTTAGCGATATTCTAGTCGTCTAACAAATTTGATTACTACGACGAGAAAATACGTAACATCAAATTAAAACTATCTTTAATATTATTTTTGTTAACAATGATGAAAGACCAAAATAAAGTACAAATTGCAAGTTAATTTAGTTAATTAGTGTTCCACAAAACTCTATTCATCTAATACCTTATAAATTTATATAGATCAATGTTTATAAGAGAACAAATTTGTGATCGGGATAAACTATAGCGTTCCTTCTATAGCAAACAGTTTATGGATATTCAAAAATAATCAAGTTCTGCAACTTTAATAAACTGTTTTAATGCTAAACTTCGTAAGATACAACTTTATTCTAAAAGTAGTTTTGCCTTACTTCCGCTAACATCTTTATTAATACCATGACGGATCGCAAATTCGTGTTTTACACTCGCAAAAAGAATGTCTGTTAACAGAAATATTTGTGCTATAGCAAACGCCAGCGTTACTCCGAAGTAGAAATTTGCATTTGCCGATCTGGAATAAATCCACTGGTACCAAACAGTTGGTGCAAAAACTGTGCAAAATAGCATGAAACATCCTACAATGAATCCTTGTTGTGTATCTAGAAATAAATACAAATTTTATTGAAAACTCATGTTTTATATCAAATAAATAAATTGATACAATTCATGAAAAAAACTCACATTGAAACAAGTGTTTCCAAAGTGGCAAAAGAGACATATAAAATCCAACGTCTCCTATGCACGGATAGGACTTAAATATAGCAGCAATTGCTAAATAGGAAAATGCTAGTAGCATTGGATCGTGTCGTAATCTCAATGCTAACGGTACTATATACAATAAACTGACGTTTATTTGGAAAGAAGCAATAAAGAGCCATCTGAAATGCTCAAACATTTCTGTAAAAAAGTACCAATATAGTCCTATGTTCGGACGCAAATCGGGTACTGTTAAAATAAAGCCAACTGTACTCCAAACGAACGACCAACTTCCCATGATATAATAGGAAATGCAAAGTAATGCTGTCAACATGCTTGCGAATACCATAATAGTAAAAATTATAATGTTTCTTTTTTGTTTTGTATTCTTGGAACGAGCAATATAAATAACTGCTGGTACCATGAGTGACACAGGATAAAGTCCTTGTAATGTCAATAATGAAATTGACAAACAGCTTCCAAATATGGAAGATCTTGTCATTGAAATCAATGCTACAGAGTATAATAAATTTGTAAATACTGTTGTTGTATGTCCAACACAGTTTAGTATTATATATGGATTAAATAAATATCCTGCTGAGACATACATCATGGAAGTAGATATCTCGGAACCATCATTTTGACTTTCTATATTCTCATCATCTATCTTCTCCTTCTTTTTAGAAACCTGCAATATGATAATTTTTATAATACAACTTACTTCGGCTCAATGAAAATTATAGTATTAGAGTGAAAGTAAACTAACCAATTCAGTTGCATATTGTTTTGCTGTAAATGCGAGGAGTAAGGCAGTCAATAAATCAGTAAATATAAATAAGAAGAACAGAGTCCATCGAGGTAAATGACGTTGTAAGAGATCAAAAATACATAAACCGATAGGACTTTCATGAAATAAATCACCCGTATAAGGATCAATGCCAAAATTGTATAAATGAACACCTTCAGTCACTAGAAATAAGTAAAAATCTTTGTAATATTTAATATTTTCTAATGTAATCATGATAAATATATTATCTTTGGTAACCATTAATTTATAAATTTATAAAGATGAATATCGTCATTTGCACAAACCATTGTTACAAATTAAAAAGGTGCTATTAAATTTATATAATTTGTTGCGTATGTATATACAAAATTTTTAAAAATTTATAAGTATCCTAACCTCTTTTCCAAGAATTTAACGCAGTAGAGACTTCCACACGATCGCTAATAACTTTTTGGTATCCAGAGTTCATTAATAGAAATCTAATAGTACCAGCTAATACGAAGTTCGATAACCATTGCTTCGACATTTTTTTAACAAATTACAAATCATTCATACATTTGTTGCGTGTAACAACCCATTTACGGAGTACAGCCGGTATTTAATCGAGCATGTTACACGGCTCTTGTTTGTTTACGTGATTGTATATCTTTACAATTTTTCAATGTATAATTCTCCACGACATGGTCTGTCCCATTCGTTGTTGTTAAAACGAATTAAAAATTACAAGCTCCATTGTCAAAAAGCTATACCGCCGCACTCCAGATTTCTTATGCTTATGAATTATAACCAACAAACTTTCTCATGCGTTCATTGAAATAATTTAATTATTTATCAGTCGACGGTGTTTCATTTCTGTTATAACATATAAATAGACTGTGGATGTTTATGCAAATTAGTATTTTTACAGATTCAGATAAAGAATATGAAACTATGTCTTATCTTATAAACAGTGTAACTTGTAACATGTATTTTATTGTTGATAATTCAAATATTTTCATTTCCCATAAATGCATAAATATCCACAGTTTACGTATAAATGATAAAACTATAAGGACAATAGTAGGTCAATGAATCAAAAAGTTTATTTTATTTAAATATATTTGAAACAATATAAATTAAGGCTTTTCGAAGACTGTCAATATAGTTTTCTTCTCAACTAGTAAATAAAAAATCCTTTTATTAAACAATTTACATATTGTGTGGACAAACTACTGTGTATTCAGTATCTTGAATGACAAAAAAATGTGGAACGCTTCACGATTTTGCGTGTCATCCTTGCGCAGGGGCCATGCTAATCTTCTCTGTATCGTTCCAATTTTAGTATATGTACTGCCGAAGCAAGTACGTCTGATACTTTTTGCCAGGGGTATATATACTTAGAAAGGTTCGAACGAGGAGTAGCGAGAAAATGGAATATCATATTTGTCTCGTAGACCATCTAATGGCGAATGAGCGTATCATAAGTGGAAGACACGGACGCCATCGGTGGCAAAAAGCCCAAGTTTGTAGTGAAAATAGTTCTCACTGTTGCTGCTAGATGTTGCCACCAACGAAAATTTTCCCCGTAAACTTGGGCATTTCCCCACCCATGGCGCCACTGGTACTAGATCCACAGAGAGCGTTGTGACACCTTGAAAGGGGTGGTTCTAGAGGTGATTTGAAACAACTTTTTCCTTAGCGAAAATGTTGTCCGAGGCTTCGTTGAGGAGATATTAACGGAAAACCACGACCAATCAGAGCGCGAGTATGCCGGTGGAGCGACCGCGGTAGCATATGAGCGCAGCCGCCTAGCGCGTAGCCTACGCTCCACCGGCATACTCGCGCTCTGATTGGTCAGTGTTTTCCGTTAATATCTCCTCAACGAAGCCTCGGACAGCATTTTCGCTAAGGAAAAAGTTGTTTCAAATCACCCCCCGAACCACCCCTTTCAAGGTGTTACAACATTTTTGGGACACCCTGTATTTGTGTTTCTAATGAAAAAAATACGCTTAAAAAAATGCGTGTCTTTCGAATTGCCAACCTCATGTTATCTCAAGTTTCGTCAGCTTTGGTGACGCCTAAAAACATTTACCTCCAATCGAGGCACGCGTATCATATTTATTCGTTTCTTTGAAAACTGATCGTTATTTTCCTCTAGGTACCCAGAGAATTACTATTTCTAATTTAATCGAAGCGCTACCTGGCGAGAATATTCTCGAGTAATTTCAGCCGGAAAACGGCATCCGTCTTCGGTACGCCCATGAAAGTATCAAAGGTGTCCATCAGTCGAAGCTCGCCATTTTTCTGGTGTGTAAACTTTTTCTCGTTTGTGGGGAACACGATTCCGTACTGGTGAACTCTGAATTTATTCGACGTATGTGACGTTCCTGGCACGGTCTGCGCCATGAATCAGTCACGAAACTTTACGTCGCTGTTAAATCCGAGTTACTTGCAAAACGCGCAACAAAATGCTGCGACTGCGAACGCGGCTGCTGCTGCAGCTGCAGCAGCTGCCGCGGTGAGCGCCGCGATTGCGAATGGAACGCAGCTACCCAATTCGCCTAATTCCACGACGAACAGTACCAGAAAACGGGAAGCGGAAAGTAAGTCTAAAATTTTCCTTGTTGTACATTGATTTCGTTTCGTTGTCGTATCATTCGACCTGATTTTCGCGTGCACCGTTCGCTTAATACACTTCGTTTGCCTTTACTCATCAGTTTCTTGTGTACATAAACTCTTCACTTAATTCTTTCTAAAGCTTCACTGTATAAGATATAATATAACTGTATAAGAAATCTGACGTGTTTTTGTTCTAACACGAATTCTTGCGAAACCTGATCTTTCTTCTTTTCTCTTGAGTGTTACAACTAATTTGGAAATATTGTAGATGATGGTAAGCAGGAAAAAGAGTCGAAAGAGGAACGTAGGAAGAGGAGGAGAACTAGGTGGGGCGGTAGCGAACATGACAAAACTTTTATACCGGGCATGCCTACGGTTCTCCCAACGAACCTCACTCCTGAACAGGAGAAAGCTTACCTCTGTAAGTTTATTCTCTTTATTCTATTAATCAATATTTGGATATGATTATGTTGTTATATAAATATATATACACGCATATGAGCAGGAAACAATTTAACAATCTTGCTTCTGCATATAATTTACTGAAACCTAATTTATAGTACTGTAAAAGATGTAAGTATGTATATATAGTTGAAAGTTTATACTTGCCAGAGGTAATTGACCTTCTGAATATTTTGAACAAACAAGTTTGGCAATAGGGATTGCCAATTTTGCTGAATAATGAATATATGATTATCAAAATTTATAGAGTTTATCTTCTAATATCATTTGTTGTGTATCTTTAAAGGATTTAACTAATAAAGAAGATATATACCATATAGATTTTTGTATTTTATGAAAGAAGGAATAAATGTATGACATTTATGGGAACATTTACCTCAGGGAAATTGCACAATACTAGACATAAGTGAATACTCAACACTTTTGAGACATGCTTACATTATAGAATGTATATGGTTATGGCAAATTGGCAATATCTAACTGTTGGGGTTTCCGCCCCCTCTAACCCGTTGGTTTACAGTTCAGCTGCAAATTGAGGAAATCAGCAGGAAGCTACGCACTGGAGATCTTGGAATTCCACTTAACCCTGAGGAAAGGTTTGAAAGAAACTTACATACCAAAAATGACCATTACATATCTACAATACCTATCTACTGACCATTCAGCAGCCCATAAATACAGGGGCCTTATGATATGGCTCTGATACAATTAGTGTGGGATACTGATGTCTATTTGAAAAGATTGGGCTTGATTAAAGCCTCCATGCAGCACAGAAGATGAATTTTGATAATATTGGTTTGCCCTAATCAATTTCTTTTACTAATTCATTTTTATTAAACACTGCTACAAATGAAACTTTTTGTTAGAAAATATAAATGTATATGATCATAAATCACTTGGGGCAATAGATAAAATGCATGCTAGTATTAATAATTGAATGTTCAAAAAAATTCATGTTTTTTGTTTGAATTTATTGAGCATGTTATTTTCAAATTTCGTATTATAAATTATAATATTTGTGCACAAATAATAGCACAGCATATATTTGTAAATATTTTATACAATCGGATTTCTGAATTAAAAAACAATTATAGTAGCAGTGTTTAACATGCAGTGGGTATTCTAGTCCATATATCTTTTAAATAGTTATATTCTTGCACATGTAGGGAAATTTTAAGGTGTTCCTATGCAAATTGTTTTATTCAAGTTAATAAACTCCTCTTAATTATCATATTTCGTATTAGTAAAATATTTTAAACTGATACTCTTGATAGAGTAATGGTAATTTATGTATAGGGCACCTTTATACTCTTTCTAATTAGGCTGCCGTGATTTGCACGGCACTTTTAATCTGTTGTTTAGTTTCATAATGCTACAGGAATATATCTTCTCGTTAAGTAACTATAATAGACTTTTACCCTTAATTATAACTTTAACGAGCAGATTTCAGGAAAATAATGAAATTGATGAAATTATAATTGCTAATATAAGCATAATACTATATAAAGATCAATCTTACGTTACTTTCAGGTTCAACTTAAATAAATACACATTAATTTCTCTAATAAATTAATTTACTCCAATAGGTTTAACTTTTCTGATTTTAGCTGGAACCATTATTTTATATTATTGTGTTTCATTAGTATTATACAGCATAGTAAGATATACAAGCTATTATAAACTAACCCAAAAAAATTGTTTCCTAATAATCACAGGATCTATCTTAGCAGCTGACATCATACATCTGCCGTGCACAAACGCGCAGTCTTCCAGTGGTTGCCTACTGAATAGACTTATAGCAATACTACATTTAACACTATATAATTTTTTATTCTTTGTTTCGGTACCTTGGCACTGTTGGAAAACTTTGAAAATTACTCCCTCTTAAATGTACGATTATAGTCTATTGTATGATGAAACCAACAGTTTCGTTACTCGCTTACCTGTGTAAATGTAATGGAATATTTTTATCTTTATTTTTGTTATTATCCAACTATATTCAGAATCAAGAAATGCTTCCTTTAGACATGAAAACTAAACAATATTACGCATATGTATATATGATAGATTACATAATTTCAATTTCGTTTAATTTGATACAAAAATTCATTTTACAAAAGTTAAAACTTGTTATAGATATGTGTCACATTGAAATATTGATTTTCCAACATGGTCAGAACGTATCCCATTTATAAAAAGTATATGTTAAACAAAGTAATAACTAAAGCCTAATAAATTTGCAAAGTCAATTAAAATATTTATCCCAATTTCCATTTTTCTGTTAATAATCAGCAGTTCTTTCCTCACTTAATCACACTTAATCATAGTAGGATCAGGTTGCTTGTATGCTAGTACCATCTTGATGCCAACTTTGTATCTTGACGAGTTCCTATCTTTTTGTTTTGCAGATCCCCATCTCCAGAACCCATTTACAGTAGCGATGGTAAACGGTTGAATACAAGAGAATACCGTACTAGACGTAAATTGGAGGAAGAACGTCATAATCTTATCCAGAAGATTCTCAAAATTAACCCAGAGTTTAAACCTCCACCAGATTACAAGTAAATAAATTTCACGTTTATGTATTCATGATACATGTGTTATATGTATATCACGTATAACACATTTTGTAAATTTGTTATTTTCAGGCCCCCAATAATACGGGTACATGATAAAGTAATGATTCCTCAAGAAGAACATCCAGATATTAATTTTGTTGGTCTGCTTATTGGTCCACGCGGTAATACATTAAAATGTAAGTAAACTTACCTAGCGTGTTGAATCAAATATTGTTTATATATAAATATCGTATTTATTATTGTCTTACAATATTACAGCAATGGAGAAGGAAACTGGAGCAAAGATCATAATCCGTGGTAAGGGTTCTGTAAAAGAAGGAAAAGTTGGTAGGAAAGATGGACAACCTTTGCCTGGTGAAGATGAACCTCTTCACGCATATATTACAGCTAACAATTTGGACGCTGTAAAAAAAGCTGTTGAAAGAGTACGTTGCGTTATTTATTACGATTAAACGCGTGTAACAGAAGTATTATTATTAAAATAATTCGTCAATACAGATTCATGAAATTATACGACAAGGAGTCGAAGTACCCGAAGGACAAAATGATTTACGACGTAATCAACTTAGAGAATTGGCTTTATTGAATGGAACATTGCGCGAAAATGATGGACCACGTTGCACCAATTGTGGCGCATCAGATCACAAATCGTGGCTGGTTAGTATATCAATTTCTAAACTTGAAGAACGATTGAATAAGTATAAGACATTAATTTTATTTTTTTTATCCAATACAGTGTCCAGACAAACCAAACGTAACGAATAACATAGTGTGTTCGAGTTGCGGAGGAGCAGGTCACATTGCACGTGATTGTCGATCTAAGAGACCTGGACAAGGTGGACCGGCTGCAGCAGGAATGGGAGGAATGGGACCAGGCGGCGATAAAGCTAAAATAGATGAAGAATACATGTCACTTATGGCAGAATTGGGCGAAGGCCCACCGCCTGATAGGTCTAAAAGCGGCCAACCACGTCAACCCAATCCGAATCCTAATTATCCTGGTCTTTTCGATAGGTAAATTTCATTGTTTCGCATGTTTAAAAAAAAGTCAGTATACGTGGTGGTCTATACATATTTCCCTTGTAGGCAACAAGCACCTCGTGCTTTAATGGCAGCGCCAGCACATCCGCCGCCTCAAATGATGCAAGGCGGCCCAATGATGCCACCACCGGGAATGGCTCCGCCACCATGGAGTCAAGGAGAAGTGAACAACATGAACGGTATGAATATGCAGTGGCAACCTCCAGTTAGCATGCCTCCTCCACCTGGCGTGATGCAACCACCTCCACCACCGCCTGGCTCCACATCCCAACCGAATATTCCACCGTTAATGCCCTGGATGGCTGGAAATAACCAACCACCTCCACCTGGACAAATGCCACCAACGCAAATTCCACCACCGGGAATGGGCATTCCGCCGTGGCAACAGGGACAACAAGGACCAATGCGTCCACCTCCGCCTGGAACAGCTCCACCGCCAGGATTTCCAGGATGGCAGCCACAACAAATGGGTGGATGGCCGCCAACAGCACCTGTTCCACCTCCTCCTCAACAACAAACGCCAGCTCCGCCTGGCATCGATCTCAATACTTTACCCACGCTATTGGCACAACCACCACCACCACCTCCGCCAACTAGTTAGTGTAAAGAATTATTCGTGAATCTAATTGAATCTTCTTCATGCGTACGATAGAGAGATATATATTATCGGTCATCATGTCAGTAAATAGATCGTAATACCGAACTGAAAACAGTTAATTATTATTAGTTCGAACGACCTGAGATTTTAAACGATACTTTCGTTCTATACGGCTACGTCTTTTATAAGTGAGAGAGTTTCAGCCAAGAATGAGTTTCTCAGTCCACCTTCTGAATCGTACAATGTGTATAAGAAATGGCTTTAGGTTTGCGAATGTATCGTTCCAACTCCAAGTATACATTGTACCTAGTAAAGAAAAGGGAAAACATTATTATAGTTTTGGTTACCATTATTTTCGAACTAATCGTATGTACCTACAGCTTTCTTATAAGTGTAAATGTAAGTGATACACCAAACGCATTTTTATAATGCCCCCCCCCCCCCAGCACGATCATTTTTACTTAGATCTTTCACTAAACACAATATATCGTATATAAATATATATATATATATATAATTATATATATATATAACTAGAATATGATTTACTTGTATTCCGTGAGTAAGACGTATAATAATGTGTACACTGTAGTGTATTTGTTGCTCCATGCAAGTATTGTTATAATCAATTTCTACTTCGGTACATCGTCTACTGTGGAGTGGACAGTAAATGTTTAAAGCGAAAGTAAGTTTTGCTATTGGACTATGTATATAATTTCCTATGGCACGTAGAATTATTACAAATTTTTCGCGCATTACAATCGTCTCGATGAATTTTGTATTATTATTTTAATAATTTTAATCGATGTGAATGCGTGATCGTAAAATCTTGGGTAATATAACGAAGCATCCGAATTCTTGCTTATACAACACGATAGTTATCAATTTTAACTATTACTTAGGTTATTTATATGTTAGTATAATTTGCGCGGTTTTCTCACTTCATGTTCACGATTCACCGACTACCTAAATATAAGTATAATATTGCAAACGTCCAAGCGCAATAATTTCGTATCACTGGTTCACTAGCAAACATAAGAAAATTCATCAAAATCGTGAATTATAAAGAATCTGCTTTATAAGAAATAATATTAGTATTGTTTGTTACGTTTAGGACACGAGGATATAGTTTGTGAAGCTTTATGATAAATTAATGTGTTTGTTAACTACACAATAAAGGTACATACTATAAAGATACGCCTCCTAAATGCATTTTTATGTACAAATGGACGTAATAAAATTTTAATTTTTAACCGATATTGAAACTGATAAAAAATGAGTTTACGTTTGCATGACAAATGAGATAAATACTTTGTGTTTAATGTAAACACGAAATTTCATTTTAGCATTTAACTTTTTATTTGATGAAATATTTACTTTGTACTCATGGTATAGTATAAAAAATTATGGAATACCCTTTGCTTTGATGTTAAAATGGATTTAACCATACAGACCATCAGTGATTTTTCTCTTTGTAAGGCTCATTATAATGCAAAACATAGCTATTATATACATAAACATAAAGAGTTAAATTTGAAATAATATCGTTTCTAGTACTCAACTCATATGCACGCGCACGCGCATATAATATTGCGAACCAATATCACGGTACATTATTTTCAAGTTTAAAACAAGTCTATCAATATAACAAATGAATGTTGTTTTTAAAAATGTTCAGAATTGTTTCTACGTAAAAGTGTTGATGGCCTTGACAAAGGCCGTTTGTAATTGTCGTCTATGTCGAATTCAATTTCGAATTCAACTTCAAAGAATATCGTTTACTACATCGTATGCGTTATAAGGCACTTTGAACGCTTACTATCTGAAAAATTAATGTACAATATTAGATCTATCAAATGTTAGTTTTATTTAAATATTTGTAATTAGAAATCTATACCTGTTGGTATGTAGAAGAAGCATATAGGGCAACTGGTTAGCCAGAACGTAATTCAAAATGTTTCAGAATAACAGCAAGGAATTATGTAAAAGTGTACATTCAAAAATCTGTCCACTGACCATTTCGATCGATAACTTGATGAAAACGACTTTGAACAGATTCGTATAGATGAGCGAAGAACTCAGGTTCATTCCTTAAGTCTTCCCATGCGCACATAGCTTGGTTTACTAAACATTCCCTCGTCGTTGCCACGTCGGCGGAACCCCAAGAATTGAACATGTGCGCCCATACGTTATCGATTAGATTTAAATCTGGCGACATAGCTGGCCATTGTACGACATTAATGTCAGGATGTTCAGTAAACCATTCTTGTACTAATGGAGAGGTGTATACCGCATTGTTGCCCTGGACTAATCTAAATACTGGTACTTCGTCTTCGGGGTATATCGCACGAACGCTGGGCACGAGAACGTCCTCTAAAATATCGATATATTCGGAAGAGTTCATGCATGGCGATACTTCAACTAGTTCACCTGGACCATGCACGCTTATCCATCCCCACATCGCACACGTAACGTGCCCGCTGTCTCTGCATGGAACGACGTGTTTGGAATCGTACCTGCTGACTTCGTCTGGTCGCCATACATGGGCTGCAGTACTATCTGTCGAAGAAAATGTTTTTTCATCCGTGAAAATTGTTACATCCCAATCAGACTGCGGAACAGTTAACTGCTGCAACGCAAACGCGGTGCGGTCTTCGCACTGAGCTTGCGACAACAGTACTTTACGTGTGAGCCGATGACAATGAAAACCGGCCTCCCTTAACCGCCTTCGCACAGTATTAGCGCATACCGGCAAATGAAGTTTATGGGACACGCTAGCTGCACTCTCAAAGGGATTGTTAACAATTTCTTGGACAATAGCAACATCTTGTTCCTCCGACGTCTTGCGTTGCGGCCCATTGTAACGACGACGATCCGCCAGACCTTCCTCACCCATTTCTCGGTATCTTTTTACGTAATGCCTGACTGTTCTTTCTGATATTTTCAGTTCTGTCGCTATCTCAGCGGTCTTTTTCCCATCGATCGACAGCCTTATCACTTCGCCTTTCAAAAATTGCTTTCTTTCGTTCGACATGGCCGACAATCAATGAGACAAAGCAAGACAAAGTCAAATCTTTTTTTCGTCGTTTTCCGAACGACGTGTTTCTCGTAACGAAGTGAACCAAGGTACTTTGTTGGCGAAGAATCGCTAACACCAAAATCTTGGATAACCAGTTGGAGAGCGTGTTGTAGGAATATGTAGATTGATCTGCACTCTGATTGGCGAATTCAAATGTTTTAATTTTATTTCTTCAAAAGGCTTTGAACATCATTCTCATACATGGATATATTTATTTTAAAGGCAAATTGTGTAAAAAAAACACATGGCAATTTAAAATAAAAAGACGTCATTAAGTGTCTAGGGATTTTAGTACCAGTGGCGCCATCGGTGGCAAAATGTTGAAATCTGTAATGAAAATACTTCCCACTGTCGCCGCTAGATGGCGTCGCTAGTCAAAGTGTTTATAATTATTATTAACTTAAATAACTATTCATACAGATGATAAATTTGACATGTTTATTAATGTATTGTAGCATTATAATGTAAAAGATCGCATTAATTATACATTTATGAAAAAAAATAATTGATCAGAAGGTGTCGATGGCGCCATCTAGCAGAAATAGTGGGAACTATTTTCACTAAAAGCCTGGGTGTTCTGCCACCAATGGCGCTACTAGTAGTGTTACTAAAAACTGCTCATGAGCGGTAGACGTGGGTAGACGATATTTATTAAACAAAACGACTGCAATATTTTAACACATAACCCAATTATATTTGTTATTTTCAATTGATAACATTGGCTGTACCTTTATTAAAGTAATAACTTTATTAAAGTAATTAAATTACGACAGCGCAGTACATACATAAAATATGTATTTAATAAATAATTGTTTATCCTTTACAATATCCTGCTATAGACTTCAAAGTATAGTTAAATATAAGTAATAATATCGTAATGTAGCATAATGCCTTATGCTATGCTTGTAAAGTACATAAATATTATTGGTAGGAGAGTGCTCATAAAAGCTAAATAAAGATTAGTTAACTTTAATGTTTGTAATACGACTAGCAAAGTAATTCATTAAAAGTATAAAATTTGTATACTTTAGATTTTAAATGCATGGATAATTCCAGTTAAACTTTGCTAGAAATACCTATGGTCAACAAATTGTTACCTGTAAAGACATTTGTAGCAATTGATTTCCTGTTAGTCATAGATTGTGGTGACATTGAATATTTTATCTTATTTATATATGCCTATGTTTTAGATAGCCATTGTTATTATTTATCTACTTCGCAAGTGTTCCAGTTTACCTAATAACCTTTTATCGCTTAACTGTCTGACTTTTTACATAAAGCAACAGTGCCAAGGCAGTGCCGGCTTATTAAAGTAAGGGTACCAAGAAAAGAAAATGTTGATTACCTGAAGAAATGAGTAATAAATAATAAAAAAAAGCAGTTTTCAGCTTCTGTATGAAAACATGGAACATACATAATATAATATAATAGCTACATTGTGAGACATGTTACTTTAGGGTGGATAGTTGTTACCATTTCTTATGTTTCATAATATAAAAAAATCGACTCTTAAAAAGTACAATTATATGTTAACAGAAAAAAGATTAACATAGTAAGAATATCAGTTTATAATATGTACAAGGTATAGATGTTAGGCCAATATTGAACAGGTTCGTACACAATGCAATTACGGCCTGTTTTTCCTACTGTTTAGATAAGCGTAAAAAACGTCGTTTTGAGTAAACTGATATGCATGTTCGATATCATGGTCGCACGACGTATGTGTACGTGTAAAGCAATTTATTTGTACAAGGTAATTTTTAACGATATAAAAACAAATGGTATAAAATCGAAATAGCACGAGGAAACAAGGAATAACAAACACAGTGTCTTCGCGATATTACGATAAAGGGATGTTCTTCTCTCACGACGTTCTCGAGGCTAATTTTAATTATTTCTAACTCAAGGAGAACTCAAGACCTTCGGGTTACCGATTTGGTTGAAACTTCGTATACTGTAGATTGAACTTATTTAAAGTAATCATACTTTTAATTTGAAAACGCGTATTGACGCATTTTATTACATAAAAAAGACACAAGAATAGATATTTACCATTATGTATACAAGAAATAGTAAACAAATTATTGAACGCTATATAAAGGGACGGACAAAATATTTTTTCTTGGAGTGGGTAATTTCGATAATTGTATATACTTTAAAATGTTCCCGTTGTCGTTTCCATAACTTTGCCTATAACGAAAGATAAAGCAGTTGATATGGCGTTAATATGGAGTTTAGTGTTCCTGGTGAACGAAAGAGTGCGTGCGTGCGTACGTCATTCACACCACACCATACTCAACGTAGGCAGGTGCACGTGAGGTGACCGTCTGCTAGACGAGTCAGCGGTCAGCGGTTAGGTATATAAGCTTCTTCGTGACATTACCCCGGGTAGTTCTGTAAAGTTCGTTTTTCTTGTAATCTACGTGTGATTATGTTACATAGATCGACCACGGTCGTAGGAAGACACTATGTTTACGGTATATCGCACGTTACTGATACTCATGCATTTTTTCTGCGATATATTTACCGCGGTTTATAACTGCTGTATGTTCCTGCATCGCAAGTGCACCGATATTTGGTACGGTGACAATCTGAGGACAGAAGTCGAACGGCTGGTGCGTGTTACGAGCAAAACGAAAAAGCTGCCGAGACATATAATGATTATTTTCGGCGCGAAGGAGGACACTATACTAGACTGCGTGCAAATAATCGGCTGGTGTATCACGTTGGGTATACCGTACATCACTTTCTGTGACATCAGTGGTAACGTTGATTTTTCTTTGTTTTCCTCCTTTGTAAACCTCTGTTACAACGCAGAGTCCAACTATGAATACTATGAAATCTAATGCTGACCAATGTGTGTTGTTAATGTGTCTATGTTAAACAGGTTTTATATTGTAACAAATGTTTCATATCGTTCACTGTATTTGCTATTGGAACATGATGGAATTGTATGTTTTCTAGTAAAGGTTCAAGGATTGCCGGTTTGAGTCATAATTTCAACAAATTCCTATTCGAAGAAATTTGAAACGATTAAGGTATTCTGTACTATTGTTCCATTGGAGAACCATCTTCTAAATCATGTCCTCCTCTACATTTATAGTAATTTTACTTAGAGAAGCGCATGTTTTTAATCATATACAAGTAATGTATTAACTAGGTTCATAGAAGATTCTGAATATAGCCTGTGCATAATGTGGCATTGGTTCATAGGTTTTAATTCATTTGTTTATATGAATATGAAACAACCTTTACTCTCAAGCTCGTAAAACAGGATGAGTGTGTTATGTATGTGTGATCTCAATAGCAAATATATTGACAGGAGTGTATGTTTATCATAGTCTTTGCAAAGCACAGTGGTGATATCATTAGTACAGTTTGAAGTGTTTTATGACATAACTTTGACTTTAGAGTCTTATAGATTATTGTTCTGATATAAGTAATAGCCATTTAATAAGTCCAATATGTATTCATACTGATAACATGCGTGGAAATACATCTTTTGTATTTCATTTACCCTAACCTCAACTTTAAAATATTCCTTAATGTTTTATTGTTTTGTTTTTATTGCAGGTTTCTTAGTAAGAAACGAAAGTTTTCTAAAATATGAAATTTCGAAAAGAAGGCCCGATGTTTTGGAGTATATCAGTTGGAGCAAACCGAACAGTGCGGTTATACAAAATGGAGTAAACGGTATTGTTTTGTAACAATAATATTTTTTAGTATTAAAATACAAGTATACCTTACATCCACTGACTATTATTCATAATTTTCAGGATCCAAGCCGAAAACGCGGATCTCGTTGTTATCCACTTCGAACGGGAAAGAAGAAATTGTATCGTTAACGAAGAAGTTAGCTGAAGCTGTCGTTACAGGGACGATTAAGTCAGAAGAGATAGATACTGAGTTACTGAATGAAAAATTAAATTCATTGGGGGTTCCTGACCCTGATATGGGGTTAATATACGGCCACGTTTTTTCTACGTACGGTGTTATGCCGTGGCAAACTCGAGTAACGGAATTTTTGTACGTTATTTGAGTACTTATATATTACTCTGTATAACAGAAATTGTTTAGGATTCGATGACACCAACGTTAAGCATTTAAAATCGATATTCTTTCTGTTTTCAGCACATTGCCTCTCTATGTCACTCTGTCGGCGAAGGATTTCACGCACCTGCTGGAACAGTATTCTAAATACGAACAACGACATGGAAAATAACTGTTGTTTTTATTTGTGTAAAGTTCTTATATTTCAAACGAAACAAAAAGAAAGCAAACAAAACAAGAGATTGTAAGAAGACTTACAAAGACTGAATTTAAAACAATTTACAGATACTATTTTATAAGTGGTTATCGTGTTAGTGAAATAATAAAGGAGAAAATCGCAGCATGCGCGACACAAGTGACGTTTACGATCCGATTTTAAATGGATGTCTGTAAGAAGAGTTAGCTTACGTTAAAAACATTCTTGTCGTCATTGAAAGAAGAGGATTCTACAGAACTTCGCGAACGTCATTTAATTGTGTAAAATAGGAGGAGAGGAAATACATACAGGAGCGTGGGACATTTTTGTTTTCTTCTTAACGAGGCTCTTTTTTTTTAAATTTATTTTTAATCTACTATAGTAATAGTACTTAAACACTATTTGGACGGTACTCTCGACAAATGCGAACAGAAAAATTTCATAAACAAATTACGAGAGTTTAAAGGAATAAAGTGTTATTTTCGACGCGATAAGTACAAATCTACGAATCCCACACGCGTAAATTATTAGATTAAACGTTGGTAGGTCGTACGTGTAGATTTTCCGTATCTAGCTTGTATCGTTATTCTCGTACACTTTCTTTGTATCGCCTAAAGAAGAATGGTCAGAAGTATCTATGCTCCTGTGAACGAACTCGCATATTTCGTTCGTATTATGGAATTAAAACGAAAGAGGACCCGAACTAATACCAAGAAAATTCCTGCATTTCTCTCTTACCACAGTCAGTAAAATAGCGACATTCCATGTACATAGATAGTTTACTCGTGAAATCTTAACGCACCTGAATATTTTGATATTAAAAGTGAGATTTACTTTGATCTGTATCATATGTTTTGTTACTTGGGAGAGGAGCGCCTATTGTGGACATTACAATTCCTAAAAAAAACCTAAATACAGTTCTCTTTTGCATATATGGCCCGCTGGTTGTTTATTTATTTCGCTCCTTGTTTTTTACAGGATCACTCGTAATTTGTAAGAGGATGCTGAGAGTGCTGATTAAAACTAATCGAACGGTTTGTAACTATTACCTTTGTTTTTATACCGACTCTACTCGATGCAATTTTTAAGACGTTAAGATGTGTTGATGATGGGTTCGAATGTCTGCAATTGTAGAGAGTGTTCGAGACACCCTCCGCCGGTTCATCGGCTTAGCAACGGATTATAGTCTTTCAGGGATGTCAGTCGAGCTCCCCCGTACACAAAGCATGCACAATGGTTGGTAGGCGACTCTGGGAAACCAAACATTTTTCAAGATAAAGTATACTATATTGTTCTACTTCTATGCGCTGCACACCTACGTGGGATAGCCGACAGCGGTGACAGGACGAATAAAAGTCAGCCAACATGCCGCAGAAGAAGCACGGTCACCTCGAGTAGCGTTTAAATGATTCAAAGTTCTCGAATACAATTTAAAAAGTTATTAATCGCGAGAGATGAACGAATGTTTTAACGTTGATTTCTTTCTATCTGAACTCTACCGTCCGTCACGCCCGCTGCTTTTACGTGTTCGTTATATTGTTATCACCTCCATCGATAACACCCTCCTTTATACGACGGACTCTTTTGAGCTAGAGCGAGGAAAGAACCTCATTGTGCTCGAGTTATGCAACGAGTACGGCGGTTATTTCAATACGCCATGTCTGTAGTGTTATGTGACGCTGGAAAAATTCATCGTTACATTCCACGCATTTAATTTTAGCATAGCCATCTGAGCGTTTTTTTCGTCACGTTTCCTGGCCCTCTTCATTCCGCATTAGCATGCAAACGCGGGGTGAGAGACGACTACACCGGATTCTATTAAAGAAGTCAAATGAAAGGTTCGCGACACGAGGCGTTTATTATTCGGATAAAATGTTGGGTCCCTTTTTTCCAGCGATGGGAAACGGAGCGACCCAGATTCACCCCTGGAAAACAAACCTGTTGCGTCAGGTTTAACTAACTCGAGACTTCGTCCCCAATTCAGGACTCGATCTCAACGAAAAAATGCATAGCGTCCAACGTGACTCGATCTTAACTAGGAAAGTCGAATTTAGAGGATAGTACTGACGTTATTAATATTTCTAACATCGATTCGACGATGTCAGTGTTCTGGATCTGACGTCAGTACGGGAAACGAATTCGATGTTCTACGCGTTAATTTTCTTTGGCGATAACGACTCGCTCGAACGCTTCAACTACTCGCTGAACAATATTCGGTGACCGTTGTACGATTAGAAAATTTGCGATCGGTCTTCGAATAAATCGATAACTCTTAGATGCGTAGCTGAACGAAGGCTCTATCAGAAACGCATTATTCTTCTCTTATCGTTGCAATTATTTTGAGACAACCCGTTTCACGCGAACAATAATTCTGTCGATTTTGTTTACCGCAATGGTTACGCGTCGATCAGTGAATTCGCGAGCTGTCGCGTTAATGACTAATTGTGGTGTGAGAGTTTCTCGAGTCTACTTATTACACGTTATTATCTCCAATAAGCAGTATTTAAAAGCACTCACAGCATTGGTGAACGATAGGTTCGTGTATCGGCAAAGGTAACGATTTAAAAAAAGAGGTCTACTACGCTTACTAAAAATTGCTATTGCACGACACGTACGGAATGCATCATGCGCGGGATAAAAATAAAATTGTCTTCGATGCTTGTTACAGCGTAAAATGATATTTTATTAGGTATTCGTAAAGGTAAACGTACTTGTCTGAATTTTCAGAATCCTACTTTGTCCGAGCGAGGTCTTGAGGATCTTTGAATTGGGGTGGATGGGGACTTAAGGGATAGCGAAACGAATTTTACAGGCTTACTCGAGGATCCTTGAATAATTTTAATGTAAAATAATAGATACATAGAGACGTTGAAATTTCAAATACAGATCTTTAAATTGGGTTGGATTGGGGAGTGCAACTCGGTGCACGGTGGAATTAATTTTTGAGTCTAAAAAAAAAAAAAACAAAACAAAACAATACAATCAACTGCAAACGATATATGGTACCACAGTTGTCCTCGTACCCCATTGCATTGTTGGAAGCTGTCGCGATTCCTCGAGCGAGGATGCGTCGACGTAAACTGTCGCTTAATAATCACCCTCGTCGAGGATCCATCGCGATCCCTAAGATCGCTTACCAAGAGATCACGGTGAGGCGCCCGGGCGCTGATTCGTGACGATGATTATTATTCGCCCAGGCGTCATAAATAATAAAGGGAGGGGGGATTACGTAGGTCGGTGTAATTGAATCAAAATAATGTAGAGGTATCGTGTTGTAAGCTCGGCCAATCATAACTCAGGTGGCCATCTCGTCCTGCTCTGTGCTGTAGCAGAGAGGCAAGGGGGTGGGCGTCGAGGGTGTCTCTATATAAAGGGTGTCATCTCTAACCCAGGGACACTTGTTCCACCACCAACAGGCCGCAAACGTCGCCGACGTCGCGACGTCTCGTACCGCGCGGGATCTTCGTATTTTCTCACGAGTTTCTTCACCAGTTCGAAGTCGAGGAATCGGAAGTATCAGTCCGCACATCCCCCTCGATACTTACGACATGGTGAGTGGTTCTTCGACGTACGACGTCTCCTTCTCTGGTGAACGTTGTTTGTTTTCAGGGGCGTTTGGTTCTTTTTGTATAACTCGCTGTCAGTCGCGGTTCAGGGTACGTAGGACGATCAGTCATTGTTTTAGGTGGTTTTCGTACGGTATCGTTCTGTTTGAAGATCTGGATTTTATTTGGTGTTTACGTTAGTGGTTTACGTTAGTACCGAGTTTTTGGAGTTAGTTGGGTTCGAGTCTCGAGGATCTTTGATTGGAGTGGATGAACTTAAGGGATGGCGAAACGAATTTTTCAGGTTTACTCTTGCTCTCGAGGATCCTTGAATAATTTTAATATAAAATAATAGATACATAGAGATGGTCAAATTTCAAATTTAGATCTTTGAATTGGGGGTGGATAGGGAGTGTGACTTAAGGAATGGCGAAACGAATTTCTGAGGATTATTTTTGCTCTCGAGGATCCTTGAATAATTTTAATATAAAATAATAGATACATAGAGATGCTTAAATTTCAAATATAGATCTTTGAATTGGGGGTGGATGGGGAGTGTGACTCGGTGTACAGCGAAATTAATTTTTGAGTATCATTTTCTATCGAGTATTTCGATCGATATTTATAAAACTGGTGTGCGATAATAGGACGCGAGATTTTAACACGGAGCAATTTCACAACATTCGATAGAAATCAATGTTCCCAAAGGTCTTATCAGAAGTTCAAAGATGGAAATCTGAACAATGATATTTTTATTAACAGCTTCCAAAGCCTAACTTTACCTGGAATTTTGATTTTATTTAGTCAAAGAAGATTGTGCATCATTATTTTCTATTGTCCGCGATATATCCAGATATATCGTGTATGGAACAAACGTGAGAGAATACGAGGTGGTAAATCTATTTTCTTTCCAAGTTCAACGAATCATTACGTACGACAGGGGTTTCTACAGATCGCCCTCTCTTACCGTCCTTTTTTCCCCAGTCCTTTTCCTAATCGTGATCTACGCGTAACATTACAACGGCATGGCAAATTAATTTAAGGCAGGGCAAATTAATTTAATCCTTCCTTCCTGTCCGTATTGCGTTCTTCCATAATTTGATTTTTTAAATAAAATTTATTTTATATGTATTTATCTAATTACGATAATATATTTATCTAATTATGTGCTCTTAATTAATATAACAAATGCATGAAATCCGCATCCTGGTCATCAGTGTCATCGAAGTTACAGAACGGGGCAATTTTCTGCGATATCCCAATACGAATCGCTTCTAAAGATTCGAAGTAAAAAAAAACGATAACAAGCCTCCATCCATCGACGCAATTCTTATTCCGTTAATATCCTTTTTCTTTTGGGTCATAAATCTACTTTTTAGTAGAAACTGGTTCGTAGACGACACGACCGTTACGAAGGGTGCGCGCGTACGGGGTTAATTAAAGTAACGTAACGCAACATATTAATCTTGCTCGTTGTACAGGGCCGTTGCTAAACGTCCTCTTAAGGCAGTTAATAACACACCGATATTATTTACAGCGTTATCGCGACGGGTATCGAATAATCTCGAGGAAACCGCGGAATCTTTCAAATTCTCAAGGACACGAATAAGGAGTCAACAAGAACACGAATCTTAGAATGCAGGATTAGCTGCATTTATTGCTTTATTTACACTCGGGATTCCTACGCTGATGCAACCTTCGAGTTTACAAAGCTTTTCCTTTCGTTGCAATTTCAATTCTTATTCCTCGTAGATTTGTCACGTTAACAAACGTTACGAACGTCATAAAAATAGGCGTTTTAGTAGCAGGTATTGTATTATAGTACTCGCGACTCCCGCACTCGAAATAAGGAACGAAATGAGAACAGGAAACGTAGGGTACAGGATTGGTCGTGTAGATAAAGCGATCGACTGTGGATCCGAGGATCGTGGATTCGAATCTCCGTGCCTTATTCTTCGTTTAGATTCCCACAATATCAAGTATATCAAGTATATAAGTAGCGACCGCTCCCAACGGTCTACGCGCGCTCTGATTGGTCGGGTTTTTCTTTTAATATCTCCTTAACGAAGCTCCATCCGACATTTTTGCAAAGGAAATTGTCGTTCAGAATCGTCTCAGCTACCCCCCATTTCCGGCTCCTCCCCGACTTTTGGGACACCCTGTATAATAATAAATCCGATTACGACACTAGTGATTTGAAATAAAATTGTATGCCAAGAGGTTAATCGAGGAAGCTTATTAATAATTGACGAAGCGAGTATCAATCGTTGAACCACCAAATTTCCTTGTCGAAGAGTGCGTTATCGTCGCTCTACGTGCTGCCCTTCCTCTGCAACTGGTTCCTGGTGTCTTCCTCCATGCTAACGCCCCTGAGAGCCGACGGGAACCTGAGGATCTTCAAGGACGCGCCCAGCGACTTCGAGTACGTGCTGAAGAGGCACGGGAACAGCGGTCGTTCCGACGACGCCGACTCCAAGGAACGGCGAAGCAACGTTGGCTCGTCGTCTTTCATCAGATTCGGCCGTGGCGATTCCGAAGTGAACGCCGAGAAGCTCCTAGACGGCGAGGCCGACGACGGATCCAAGGTCAGCAGGTATCCGCGATGGAAGTCTCCGGACGTGGTCATCAGGTTCGGTCGATCCGGCTACAAGGCTGCCAATAGGGAGTTGAAGCGGGGAAGGAACGACCTGAACTTCATCAGGCAAGCATCGTTAGTGCTCACGAGTTCGCTGCTGAGAAGACATATCGAATTTGCATGAACATCCACGGTCTGGTTTCACGGATATCTCGCCTTTATTTTCCACCTAATGTAGCCTAAATTCGGTTCAATTTCACGTAGCATCGCGTACCGCCCCAATTTAATTGAAAGAGAAACGAATTGTCCTTGCGTTTTCAACCCTAAATCTCCTCGCCGTTTCTATTATCGATTTTCTCGACAGATACGGCAGGAACACGCAGATGTACCCCCTGGAGATCGACCTGACGGCGATGTGCTCCGACCTGATGCTGAACGACGAGCTGAAGTATCTCCGCCCCTACGAGGCGAGGTTGCTGCGTCTGTGCAACGTCCTCGACGACGTCGACGTCGAGCACAGGAACTCTCTGAGCTATCTGGAGAACCGACTCGACTCGAAGCACGAGTAAAGCCCTTGCCCGGGTCCATCGAGCGATCATCGTCAGGATTCGCGTCGACGGGCGTGCAGGAATCAAAACGGGAACGTCGAGGGGGGGAAGACACCTCGTCGCGCTCGATCCTGAAATTCCCGCGAACAACGTTATTATCGGCCGATCGTGTTATCGAGACCTTCATTTTCATTTAATCGAATCAGCCTCCCTTTTCCTCCAGTCAGCCGCGACGCAACGGACCGCTTCCTTCTTTTTTTTTTTTTTTTTTTTTTAAAGTAATTGAAATGCAAGAGTAACGAAACGCGATTGGCGACCGCCACGACTAAAGCCGCGAGCTCTTTGTTCGAGGCGATCCAGTAACGTGGTTACTCTTAATATTATTTTAACATTAAGCTATTCGAACTAGTAATTGCTCCCCCCCCCGCCCCGCCTCTCACCCCTCGAAGATAGACTTTTGATTCATTAAATCCAAAAAAGATACGTCGCTATCGTCGACGACGATCCTCTTCGTCGTTCCCATTTCGAGATCGCTGGATGCAAGAGGAAACAGGGCTGCAAACAAATGTCAATCTTCTGTAACCCTCAATAAAATCGACGAGTATGCCTCGCGATGAATATCTCTCTTCGGTTTTTTAGTTTCTTAACGAAACGTCCTGTCACCAATTTCTGGGTGACCACCTGACGATCAACGTGTTAAAGGATAAACGTATTTATTTTCTCGTCAGTCCCCCTCTCCGCACCCTTCAATTTACGATAAGAGTTAGTATCACGGTACTGAGCACCGTCTGTAACCTAAACGTCGTTCTTAAAGTGAATGTAAATTTAATACACGCGTATAAATTAAAGGAAAAGAAAAAAAAGCGTGGGTTGTTGTCTCTGCGCGTTCTATCCTTGACCATAAAAGAAACGCTCCGGTCCCAGGGTGAAACTGGGACAAACGAGAATTTACCTTTTTGCGACCGCGAGCACTCTAATTCTTACGTATCACTCCGCGTGTGTTTGCCTCTGTTTTATTTTACTGTGACAACCCTGTTTTTTTTTTTTTTTTTTTTTTTTTATTCTACTGGAATAAATGCAAAATTGAGGGTTCAGGAAACGGACCACCAAACGGAGAGAATCACCTCGGTCGGTCGTTGAATTGAGAATGAATCGTGTAGGGCAATTGTTTAAAATAAATACGTTCGAGCGGTAACGATCGAAGAGTATATTATACATAGTTTCGACTGAAAAATTTGTAAAGAAATTTTTGCTGTCTTTATAAAAATCCAACACACTATGAACCTACTCCTGGAGGAAGCTTTTTGTATAAAAGAAGGTTACTTCCAGAGTAGATGTTTTATAATTTATATCGTAACGAACTGCTAACAGCCGCGCTGCGGCTCGTTTCAGGTAACCGACCCACGAACTCGGCTGGTCGTAGTATTATTCATTAACGTGGAGCGTCTAAAAACGGTAGGGAAAAGGATACTTCCGGGTCCTTGTTGAAACAGAAAATAGCAGCCAACAAGTAACCTTAAAAATACGTTTTTACGTATATCATTTAGTTTTAATGTTTTACACCAGTTCTGTAATGATAAAGTACTGCAGGTAATTAACATAACAATTATGTCAAAATTACTTGCTATTTTTATTAGATTCTTAACGAGATATTTGTGTTATTATTCAACGAATGCTTGCGTTTTTAGATTGAACACATTTTTTACGGTAAGTTTGACACTACAGGTCTGTTAAATTTACAAAAAAAAGAAAATTGTTAAAGTTACCGTCATTTTGTGTTAATGTATTTAACGTAGAGCTTGTGTTATCGATTGTTAACACAAGTATGATAACAAGTATGATATCGTAGTATCGCGCCATCCATACTCAAGAATAAAGAGTCAAAGGAGAACACGTAACGTAAGGTACGGGATCGGTCATGTAGGTAAAGCGGTCGACTGTGGATCCGAGGATCGTGGGTTCAAATCCTCCGTGTTTCTTTGTTTCGTAATTGAAATAATTAATAATAAGTACTGGCATATTTCAACATCTACGAAACTGTAAGCAGAGAAAAAATAGTCCAATTTAAAGTTTTATTAGATTTTAATGATACTAGAGTAGCCAACCACCACGCGCTCTTAATATAAACAATTTCCAGCTTCGCTTTTCCCACAGAAAATTAAAAGAAACGACCCCGTTCCGTCCTCATTCTGTCTTTATCCCGTTTCCTCCTTAACGTCGTCATTCCTTCCCATCTGGCCAGAACCTCGTTGGACGGTCGTCAGAGACGTGACACGAGTATCACACCCTTCTGCATTAAATACAACGTACAACTGGCGAAAGAAAAATCGCAGAAAAACACCTATCCGTGGTTTGGCCAGGTAAACGAAGAAGAACGAGGTCTCCACGAGGGTGTTCCACCTCAGTCCGCCCTCGGTCGTCCATTAAATCCCGTGAGTTACGGTTGATTCTCGCCAGTGCTCAAGGGACTCGGTGGTCGCGTTCAACAAACAACGAGAAAAAATTGTAACATTGTTTTGTAGACAACGCTCGAAATTCATCTTTACAATGACTCGATCTATTAGGTAGACTGGAAAGTAACGTCGTTTCGTTTACATTAAATTCAAACGAATTTTCGATAAATTTCTATTTTTAAGCAATTATGTAATCGTCCTCGTTATCAACAGCCACCTAGTGTGCAAATTTTCGATGATCGATAAACATCAACGTGCTGTTGAGTGATAAACACGGATTTAAAATTGCAAAAACGACATTACTTTCCGGTCTACCCGATACAAGGCCTTAACGTTTTACGATAGAAATTTACATTTCTCGAAAGTTACTTATGCTGACGTAAATACTTATCCACGTAAAGCATGCATCCAAATTACTTTCCGATTATCGTACCGATACATCCGAATCGCTACGAATTCCTGATAGATGTAAACGTCGTCGAAGAGGTCTTAGAAAGTAACCCTGAAAAGAAGAAATAAATAAGAGAGCAAAGATACCAAGTACCCGCGTATGGGTCGGGTGAATTGACCTGATATTTCTTAGGGACGCGGATATCTTGCACGTGGATGCGCAATGTGATGGCCAGGACGGCAGCCAGGCAGACGGTCGGTTCACGAAGCGGTTCTCTTAGTACCGATGAGACCCACGTGTTTGTACTTAATCCCATGCCCCAGCTGACCGACGTCCTAAGGCTTCCCTAAACTATGTAGAGCTGGTGAACGCACGGCTTTTCTCTTTATTCTTATCCAGCGTTACACAAAGTTTCGCCGTTCCCTGACGAACGGAGTGCCAGGAGTAACGAGGTCCCTGGTTCGTTCCCGTGTCGCCTGTACGGACAGTGCCATGGGTTCCCGTTGATCGACACCTTGGACCAGGTATGGTTTTGTGTTGGTGCGGTTGGAAACTGGGTTTCGAGGCCAATACGTGTCATAGTCGACGAGGGTTGAGGGAGAAGGTTCGTTGAGTTCGTTGGAATAGAATTTTTATAAAGTTCTGTCTCCTTTTTTTTTTCTTCTTTTTTTTTCTTTTTTTATTAAAAAGCAAAGGGAACCGTGCGTAACAGTTTTTACTGGGAGTAGAATTTTGTTAAAATTCTGTCACTATTTTTTTTCTGAAGCAATAAAGCGCGTAACAGTTTTCATTGTTTTTGTTTGAGTGGCAAGAATAATTCCTTGAAATTGGGAGAGCGGCAGTGATTGTGCCGGAGAGTTCTTGAAATCTGTTCGGTTTCTGAAGGGTCGGTCTTTCGGTCGACCTGCATCACTCGACGTCTCGTCTCGAATTGGTTCGTAACGACGTAACTGATACTATATACTACGTTGACGTGCAAACTATTCTTCAGCGAGGTACTAACTGGAAACTGTTGAAATTTTAGACAGCAATTGATAAGTATGTCTAATCGAATTAATGTTATTCCTTTTTTTTTTTTCTGATTACGTTTGGCAACTACTCGAAGGCGCATTCGTTTATTTCATGCAAATCCGACTTCAAGTATTCGTTTAAAACGTATCGCCGCAACAGTCGGGAAGTATGTTAATCGCGGCGCTCGGATTAAATCCCTTTTCGATATCGAATTATGGATTTCGTTCGGGTAATATAGGACGATCGATCAGCATGACGTGGCTCCCGTTTAGGAGATTATCGTCGGATCATTGTAGACAAATCCTCCACTCTCGAGTCTGATCTCGAACTTTCCTTTCCTAGCTTTTCGAGTAACTAATTTCTATTATATTTGCAAACAGGGATTTCTTCTCGAACTTTTCGATCATTTATCGGAGTCTTAACTCTTCCTCTTAACTCAACACTGATCCTTCTATGGATTTATATATACAGGGTGTCCCAAAACTCGGGGAGGAGCCGGAAATGGGGGGTAGCTGAGACGATTCTGAACAACAATTTCCTTTGCAAAAAGGTCGGATGGGGCTTCGTTATGGAGATATTAAGCGAAAACCCCGACCAATCAGAGCGCGCGTAGACCGTTGGAGCGGCCGCGGTAGCGGTGGCTACGCGCTAGGTAGCCGCTCTCGTCCGCGAACAAGTGACTCGACGTGCATCGAAGGACATTGGACGCGACCGCTCAGCGCGTAGCCTTCGCTACCGCGGCCGCTCCAACGGTCTACGCGCGCTCTGATTGGTCGGGGTTTTCTCTTAATATCTCCTTAACGAAGCCCCATCCGACATTTTTGCAAAGGAAATTGTCGTTCAGAATCGTCTCAGCTACCCCCTATTTCCGGCTCCTCCCCGAGTTTTGGGACACCCTGTACATATATAATATTATACACTACTCTAAAATGAAAATCTGTTTTAAGCTACTCGACTCTAAGTCATCATTCGTCTCCGTTTGCATTTCATATTCTTTTTCCAATACATACTCCATTGCTTAAACATTCGGAACTTTCACCTTTAAACTTTCAACTTTGTCCAGGAAGAAAAATTTAAAAGAAACCCGATAGTTTCTCGACCTAACATTTTTTCCTTCCAACGATGGAGCTTATTTACACAATTCCCACACTGGCGACTCACGAGAGAATCCCTGCAGCTAATTAACCGCGCAACAATTGCCAATCAAACCTTTCCACGTCCTTTGGAGCTCGAAACGCACGAGAAAGGACTCGTGGGGCCTAACAGTAGAGGATTAGCGTCGTCCCACGCGTGGCTCAAGATTTTCGTGTCTCTGTTTGCCGTACGTAGGCGTTCCTGGGGATCGATGAACCAAGTTCACCCGAATATCTGGGCCCGTCGATAAACACAGTGGGAAAATGAATCCGTCCGAGTCGCAGCAAAATCTTCTGGCGAACGAGGCGAGGGCGCCGTCGGTGCAATCCTTAACCCCACCACAGGACTACGCTCTTGGCCCAGTTGAGAAGCACTTCCTGCTAAGCGCGGAACGAGGTGATTGTGCCACTGTCAAAAGGTAATCCTTCGTGCTGCCGCGGAAGATAAATCGTCCGCGAGATCGCGATAAATGATAGGCTAGGAACGATTCGCCGCTATCGAGAATTTTCTCTAAATTTTTCTTATCTTAATCGAATCTTTTATTTTCGATCGGAGTTTATTAAGTAGCTGCCGGAAGCACACTGCGGAGCATAGCATCATTACAAAGTAAATTTTTTTGTAGATTTGTAAATTTTGTACTATTCTATTGTACGTATCCTACTTGTATTTCGACTATCTTTTCTGTTTCGACTATTCTATTCTATAGAGACAACATTCCGAGTTCAACTTTCGTATTTCAAACGCGACCGTCCGTCTGTGTTTTGAAATATTTCATGACATTCTGAAACAGGTTACTGGAGGAGAACAAGGACCACCCAGAGCTGCTGAACATCAACTGCGTGGATCCCCTGGATCGATCAGCCCTGATCGCCGCCATCGAGAACGAAAACGTCGAGTTGATCAATTTGCTCCTCGAGCTCGGGATCCAAGTGAAGGTAAAAGTCTGGGTTTTTCTCATAAAATTAAAGTACACAAGAAGTAGTAAAGTATACAGAGACACATAGAGGTAGATTCCTAATAAATTATCCAACGTCAAGGCTAGGCATTTAAAAGCACAGCGGATTCCCCACATAATTCCTCCTTTTTCCCTTAGGATGCACTCTTACACGCCATAAAGGAGGAGTACGTGGAAGCTGTGGAGATCCTTTTGGAATGGGAGGAGAGGACACACACGCCCGGGCAACCTTACGTGAGTTCAACATGTTCATCGTAGCCTAATCCAACCACACTTTACACTAAGCATTCAAGAATATTTTCTAAAATTAACAAATTTTATTTTTTAAACCCTGTACAATTAAAGACTCCAGTAATTTTTTTGTTTTTCAAGAGTTTAATTATCGTCAGGAATTTTTGTTGTCAAGAATCGAAGCCTTCGCTCTTCAGGATGAGAATAGAAAGTTGTATGTCGATGGTTGACGATTTCTTTTCAGAGTTGGGAAGCCGTCGACAGGTCATCGTCGAACTTCACCCCAGACATAACACCGCTGATTTTGGCCGCACACAAAAACAACTACGAGATCTTGAAGATACTCCTCGACCGTGGCGCGACGCTCCCTACTCCCCATGACGCCAGGTACAAACAGAAAGAAAGATCAACCCGGGGCCGGACGTCCTAGGCAGCCATCTTAAGAGTGGATGTTGGAGGATGTTTAAAATAAGCCATTTCTTTGCGAATTTTTTTAAAAATAACGCACAAATAATTTCTTTCGATACAATATGATACACGGAGAGTCAAATGAGTAAGGCCTCAACCCTCGAGAGGCCTAGAACTAACGAAAATAAATTACTTAAAGATTCTAGATACCTAGAATACCTATTATATACCTAATTCTAGATACCTAGAATCTTTCCTAAAAAAAAATCGAACAAAATTCGTCGAGGTTTCGCCAAGATACACATGTGACGCATCGTCTGTAACACGCTATAAACGTTGTCACGTGTGCAGGAACGGTTATCTAAAACGGCGTTAACTCGAAAACCTTAAATCGAAGTCGACCGGTTGTCCCAAGTTATTGGGCTTCATGTCAATACTCGTTCCTCGCTCACCGCTCGTTTATTCGATTAAGAATGCTAATTATGTTATTGCAAAACCAGCACGTGCTCGCATTGGCTCTGTCAATAATAATAGAATCGTATCAATTGACACGTGTTCATTTGTCTTGTGCCAATATATAATTCTGCTCGTAGGTGCGGTTGCGACGAGTGCGTGACGTCCAGCGAGCAAGACTCCCTGAGGCACTCGCAAGCTCGAATAAACGCGTATCGCGCCCTCACTTCGCCATCTTTGATCGCCCTGTCCTCGAGGGATCCTCTTCTTACGGCCTTCGAGCTGTCCTGGGAGCTACGACGACTCAGCAAAATGGAGCAGGAATTTCGATTCGAGTACAACGTATGTAACGAGGAGGATCGAAGCACGACCCCTTTTGATAAAGATCATTTTTACGTGTTATTACATCGTTGTACGTTGTTCGCGAGCAGGAGATGCGAGAGCAGACGCAAAATTTCGCCACTTCTCTGCTGGATCACGCGCGCACGTCCCTGGAACTGGAAGTGATGCTGAATTACAATCCGCACGGTGAGAACTGGGAACCGGGTGAGAGACAGACGTTGGACAGGCTCAAGCTGGCCATCAAGTACAAGCAGAAACAGGTGAAGTAACTCCTAGCTTCGTATTTCCTCTTCTTTGTTTTTTTTTTTTTTTAAAGAGAATGGACGATCGTTTTAGAAGGGTTTGCACTCTCTTGCAAAAGTTGTCGGTTCGACTCACAACGAATTATAAAATTGAAAGTTCGTAGCCCACCCGAACGTGCAACAACTGCTGGCTGCGATCTGGTACGACGGGTTGCCAGGCTTCAGAAGGAAAAGTATGATCGGACAGTTCATAGAAGTCGGGAAACTCGGCGCCATGTTTCCCGTATACAGCTCGATCTACATGCTCTCGCCTACCTCGCCTATGGGTCTGTTCATGAAGAAACCGTTCGTCAAGTTCATATGTCACTCATCCTCCTACGCTTTCTTCCTGAGTAAGCACCATCGTTTTACGGAATAATAAATCCCGCAACAAAAAAAAAAAAAAAAAAAAAAAAAAAATGATAAAAACGAATTCTTTGGAAGAAAAGAGTTTCTCTGTTAAGTTTTAGCAAAGGTTTCTTCGCGTGACGCACGCAAAAAGGAATCAGTTCCTGGTAATTGCATTCTAATAGAGATTCGAACGAATTATAAATTTGCGTTAGTGCTGCTGGGGATGGCGTCGCAACGCATCGAGTACCTGGCAATCGAGTTATTCGGGAACGCCTGGCTGCTGGACATATTAGCTGAGTGGAAGAGACGAGAACGTGGCTGCATTCCTGGCTTCGTCGAATCCGGTGTCATCATCTATGTTATCAGTAAATAGATCCGAATGAACCTGTAAAAATATTTTCAATCGATCATTTTCCTCTCGCGAAATACGTCGATCTAACACGCAGATGTACGATACTTTCTATTCGAACAAATTATTTTGTAAAATATATCGTGATCGATATATCAATGTTGAAAATATTATAACGAATATAATTTTCTTGAATGCTGCTTCTCCAATTAGCTCCAATTAGCTTGAAATGACTGGAACTGTTGTTTTTTTTTTATAAATCACACGAATGCTTCATTTTTATATGTCGCAAGAGAGAATTAATTCACCCGGTCGATGAATGTGACACGTGTTAATTTTGCAAGGTTTAGTCACGGGCGAGATGAGATCGTTATGGTCGGACGGGATCTTGGAATACGTATCCGATCTCTGGAACGTGGTGGACTTCATTCAGAACGTGTTTTACGTAATCTGGGTAGTGTTGAGGCTGACAGCGTGGATTATAGTTCAGGTGTGCTTCGTAATTCCTAATTTTATATGTAAAATATTTGCTTCGCTTCGTCCTTTACATAAATTCCTGTCATGGATTCCACTCTGTCTATCGTATGGATTTTCAATCGACGATTTGAAAAATCAAATGCGAAATCAATTCGTAGCATAGGAAACTTGAACTAATAATTATAGAAACGAATCAATCCAGAGATTTCGAAACGATCACTTTGAAACTGTATCCTCGACAGAGGGAGTACTGGAGTGGCGTGGATCCTTGGTATCCCAGAGATCAATGGCACGCCTTCGATCCCATGCTGCTTTCCGAAGGAGCCTTCGCCGCGGGAATGATTTTCAGGTAACTTTCTCTCGGCGTAAAATAAAAATATCCACTAATTAAATAGGCGATCACGAATCACTGTATCGAATCGAAGACGTTGTTTCCAGTTTTTTGAAGCTCGTTCACATATTCAGCGTGAATCCCCACCTCGGTCCACTCCAAATTTCCCTGGGGAGGATGATAATAGACATTATCAAGTTCTTCTTCATCTACACGCTGGTCCTGTTCGCCTTCGGTTGCGGTGAGTATATCCAGTCGACGTTCACTTATTCATCGTCCACGTTCCCACGGGTCCGTAGCGGCGTCTCTACACCCTGGAAGGCACGCTACCCTTCGCGAAAAACGCGTTTCCTTCTTTATTAAACGTAGCCCGTTGATTATTCATCGGTAGTATAGAGATTCAAGTCCGTTTACGCGAAACTCAGGAATGAATCAGCTGATGTGGTACTACGCGGACCTGGAGAAGATGAAGTGCTACAGCATAAAGGGCTTCCCCGATCTGCCCGACTTCGACAATCAGGAAAAAGCGTGCTCCATTTGGAGACGTTTCGCTAAGTACGTATCGGAAATTTAGAAGAGTATAGAAGGAGGAGCGAAAAGTGGTGCACTGTCTGTAAACTTATCCAATATGAAATATAGAATAAATACATTGTCAGATTTAATAAAAATAGGGGGTAGTTGATAGCTTTGTCTCGAACTCTCAAAAATTAGACGAACACCGCTTCTCACTTCTCTCCTTTAAAAAAATATGTTTCCCTAACGAAAAATACCAGCAGAACATTCTAAATTTTCTTTGCAAACACTTTCAGCTTATTCGAGACGTCGCAATCGCTTTTCTGGGCCAGTTTCGGTATGGTGGACCTGATGTCCTTCGACCTGACGGGAATAAAAAGCTTCACGAGGTTCTGGGCGCTGCTCATGTTCGGCTCCTACTCCGTGATCAATGTCATCGTTCTCCTCAACATGCTGATCGCTATGATGTCCAATTCCTATCAAATCATCTCGGTATAACAATCGGATATTTATTTTCAGCGGTTTATGCCATCCTTTAAAACATTCAACACGTTTTACCGGTGAAACTTTCAGGAAAGAGCCGATACGGAATGGAAGTTTGCCAGAAGCCACCTGTGGATGAGCTACTTCGAAGACGGTGACACGGTGCCACCTCCCTTCAATATGGTCCCGACCGGCAAAACGTTCACCAAAATCTTCTCTTGCGGAAAAACTGGCCGTCAGACGAGATCTCTGATCGTACGTGTTCCATTATTGATTCCTGTGAAGCAGAGGAAAATAAATAAAGAGTTTTATTTTACTATCGAGAGCTGCCCCTGTTAGTAGATTGCACCGCCAGCTGGCCTGTAGAGCGGTTGCCTGCTGCCAGGGGCAACGCTTCGTGCCTGGTAGCGAGCAACTCCAAACACAGATCGACCAGAACGAAAACCTAAAAACTTCGATTCAAGGTTTAGTATTACGATAAATGACTTTGTGAACAATTTCTAGAAAAAATCGAGGGAAAAGGCGCTGGCGAGGCACGACACGGTTATGCGACTTCTGATACGACGTTACGTGACCGCCGAGCAAAGGAAACGCGATGATTTTGGCATCACCGAGGACGATGTGATCGAGATAAGGCAGGACATCTCTACATTGCGATACGAGTTGATCGATATCCTACGGCAGAACGGAATGAGAACACCGCAGTTCGACAAACAGGAGGCGGCGCGTAGGTTTTCCATGATTTTCATTAACAAAGAATAGATATATTTTCATATATTTATTTAATTTAAAGAATAGATATATCCAAGACGTTAGAATCTATTTAATCGGGAAATCATTTCTTTCGTCAGTGTCTGGTAAGAAGGGTCGAGTGATGGAACGTCGCCTCCAGAAGGACTTCCAGATCGGTATAGTGGAGGGCATAGTGAACGCCGTGATCCAAAGCGAGAAAGAACCTAAAGACGTGTTCAGCCAGATCGCCAAGGCGATAGGTCGTAAGAGCAGCGGAAGCAAGAAGGATTGGAACGCCGTTGTCAGGAAGAACACCATCGTGAGGGATCCAATTGGTAGCACGAGCGAGGCGTCGATGAAACGACGCAGCATTCGTCGGCTACCTCATCAGGCCAATTCAGACCTAGCGTCGTTGGATCCTAATCGTCTGGTCGACTACAATCCAAACCTGACGGAAGTCTCGCCGACCACCAGGATCGCCTACGCGAAGTTCATGATGAGTCGAATGAAACCAGGGGCTGAGCAAGATGGCGAAGGTGATTACGCAACCATTCTAAATGATAATAAACTTAATTTTCTACTATTTTCTAGAAATCGATATCAACATTAATAATTGTCCTTGATATTGACTGGTCAACTTGCTTGTAGACAAGTGAATAATTTATTATTAAAAAAAAAAAAAAAAAAAAAAAAAATTAAGTGCTTCAATTATCGAATCAAATTTCTTTGACCTTGCAGAGGGCAAGGAAGAAGAGGGCGGCGAGCGTGCCACGAAAGTGAGCATTCAGGAACCGGATCGTCCTGTGCCAATGCTGAAGAAGAGCCTGCTGAAGTCGATGAGCGGTGGCAGCTTGGACAAAGGAGGCGAGAAGTCGGTGTCCATCGAAGTGAGGTCGCCCTCGCCGATACCCGAGGACCCTAGAGAGGACGACGCGACGAGGTCACCGCAGGGTAAGGCTGGCGCTGCCAAACCGAAGCCTGGACCTAGCCAGCCACCGAAGAAGGAGGATGAAGGGAAGAAAGAGGACGGGGACAAGAAGAAGGACGATGACGAGGCTAAGAAGAAGAAAGAGGAGGAGGAAAAGAAGAAAAAGGAGGAGGCGGAGAAGAAGAAGAAGGAAGAGGAGAAGAAAAAGAAGGAGGAGGAGGAGAAGAAGAAGAAGGAGGGCGGCGACAAGAAGGAGGGCGGCGACAAGAAGGAAGGTGGGGAGGAGAAGAAGGAAGGTAAAGAGGACAAGAAGAACTCCGGTGACCAAGCAGCCAAACCTCCACCTCCAGAAGATAACGTACCGGTTGCTACTACGAAACTGCGTGGAAAGTCAAAGGCTACCGGTCAAATCATGGGCGGATGGATCTGAACTCTCTACGTTGAATCGTTCATTACAAAACTGGTGTAAGATTTTTTTGTTTAAATACTCTCTATTCGTGAATTCTATTAAAAAGTAGATCTCAGAAAGAAAGAAATTATTCGAAATTTTATTCTTACTTCGATTTATTCAAAGAAATTAAAATTTGTTCAAAGACGTCGAAATTTGAGATCTTGGAACAAAGAGGAAGACTTGCACCGGCATCGTAACGAACGGTTTCTTATTTATCGATAGAAGGAAAACGTTGGCCGACTCGGTACCATGACTACGACGTTCGATATCGATCTAAAGAGCATGACACGCGACTACCCAAGTTTCGTACTTTCGTATTTTTTTGTAATACTACGCATTTCTACAACACGACCGATGCTAATCATAGCTTGACAGCAGATCACCCTAAGCCCTCGAGAATATTAAGCGTAGCTGTTTGAGATTTCCAAACGATCAATGCATGCCTCGCTAATAATAAAGGCAATTATCTTTCAGCGATAAGAAAGTATTGTATTCCTCTCGCGCTTATCGTTTTCTGTCTATTCTTTCTCTCGGTATACGTGATTAGTCCCGTCGTCGATCTCGTCGACGCAAGGTGATACTTTTGTGCACTGTTCTAGAGATAAATCACCATTCGTCCATCGATCCATCGATATATATTCATCTTTCTATTCGTATACACTTAGCACCGCTGCCAACGTTACGCGGACTCTGTCAGTTTCACGAAATTCCATTTAATCGATAGGAGCTTAAGAGTCGATCTTTTTTAAAAACAGAAACAACTTGTACGTATACATAAATTCTTATTCTACATAGGATGTTTACAACTAGCTCAACATGTATATTAGTGGTAAATAAAGAAAATGGAAATAAAAATAAATAAATTAATACGACTCGATCCGCGGCTGGTACATGCTTCGTTACGCGCAGCCTCCGCACAATACTGACCTAAACGTCCTGAAAACATTTTTACTCTCAACTTTTCGTAAAAGGTACTTCTTTCTTTATAGCGATCAATTTTCAATTATCGCCTTCCTCTAACTTCTAACGTTGTATATAAAAAAGATTTCAACGATATACCTTCTCTTTCCCACTTTTGCCATCCTCGTTTGAGCGTTGCTGGAGCCTTTCTTTTTTCTGTTCACCGTTTTGTCTTCCTACAAGGAGAAACGTAATTTATAACTCGACCGAAAACTTCTCGTAGAGTTTAAAATTCTTACGTCCACTAGCTGGCCGATGAGGAAGTCCTTCAACGTGCGTTTGGCGTCCGAGGAGTGGCCAAAATCGTCGAATCCAGCTGTTGCATCTTGTCCTGCGTATTCGTCGATCAATTCTGGACCACCAGGATGCTGCAACCAACGTCGAATACCATTTAAATATAAAATTCAGTTGAGAACAGAATCCAGTACCTGGACTACTCTATGCTTCCGATTAATGATGTTCCTTAATCGATATTGTAGATATGGAATCACTCGACGCCTTCCATGTCACGTTTGGAACAAATTTACGGATCATGGATCGCTTTCAAAAAGTGTTAGATAGACCGAAAAGTAACGTCGTTTCTTTTACATTAGATTCAAACTTTCCAATTTTCTATCATTAATTCGTTATATAATCGCCCTCATTGTCAGCAGCCTTTTGTCACCTAGTGTGCAAATTTTCGAAAATTCAATGAGCCAGAAAAATCAACGAGCTGATAAATGATAAACAAGTATTTAAGGCGGCAAAAACGACATTACTTTCCAGTCCACCTAATATATCAATAATCCTAACACAGATTTCCAAAGAGATCCGTCACCTTGCGTCCGATAATCAGAACACTCGATTCTCACTTTTTTCTTTTTAAGCATACCTTGGCTTTGTAATCGGTGACATCGTAGACGTTGTCGTGGATCACGATCCAGGTCCTTGATCCATCGTTCCCATCGCGTTGCGCTACCTCCTTCAGCGTGTACCGTAACAGTTCACTCATCGTTTCGGAAACTAATGCTCGATCGATCTCGTCGCGTTTGAACGTTGTATAAATCGGATTTAATTGCGCAAACAACTGGAGATCTCGACGCTAGCAGCGAATCCCGAGCGCTCGGACCGATGGATCATTGGGAACAATGCGGGACGAACGATCGCGATCGAACGTAAGGAAAATCTGAATGATAAAAAAACTGACCGTGATCGGTGTCGCGTATGTAGATAAACGGAGATAGCGCGTGTCACGTACTTGATTAGGAATTAATTACGGAATTCCGAGAGGAAACTTTTGTCGTTATCTATTTATAAACACGGTACTTGAGGAAATCCCATTAAGAAATATGATAATAGTGTTAGTTTACTCCTGTTTAACATGCTTCTATTGTGTGTTTTTTTTCTTTTTGTTTTATTTATTACGTGTAGGATCGTCCTATTTCAAGGAATAAGGACGATGATCACCAGTGATCATTGATCCAGTAGATTTTCAAATAACTGACTAAGGAGATTATTCGAAATTTGTGTGTTTCAAAAACGACTCAGTAACAGAGGAGTGTTACAAAGTATCCAAACTTTATAATTAGGGTGATTTCAACTGAATTTATTATCGAAATAAAATTAACGTGATACAATGAAACTATACCAATATATTTTTAATAAATAATAATATATCATTTCTCGCGGAATGTAAGAGTAGAGGATCAATCGCCTCTAAACAGAGAATGTAATTAATACTCGAACGAAACATACTGATAATACTCCATTTAAACTGATAATGAAAATGACGTTGATTACAGTACAGCAAAGGGGGAAATACCACTGTTCGTAATTACGAGTTCATTCGGTTCGAGTTCATGCAACTCGTTGGGAATCAGGAAAACGTCAACTGATGTTCATTGCATAACACAAATCACGATGTAATTATTTGTGATTCCCCGACCAAAGGATAAATACAAAATATGAAATCGAAGTTCGGCGAACCAGTAATTATCTTATAAGTTCTCCATATTTTCCTTGTATGGAATCAAAGTACTTATTCTAAATCATTAATTATACTCCGTACGATTTTAATCAATCATTAAACATTGGAAAGATTAACATCAGCATGCGCTATGGATGTTTTTTAGTTTTTATGTTATATTTTTTTATTATTTTGTAATTAATCTTTGTAACACCTGTATCATGAATGTAATCATATTGTCAACTTTTATTCCCTACTTCCTCTAGCTGTCGATTACAGAAAAATAATAAACTAAATGCTAATAATTTATATTAAGTTTTTATGCCAATAAAGCTACGAATTGTTTATAATAATTCACATTCATTCATTTGACTAGAGTGGTCAAAAAGGTGTCGGCGAACGGTATCACCATCTAGCGGTCGAAGGTTTTCCAACCTACATAGCAAGAAATTATAAATTTTGCAATTATTTACATATACACGTAGTTGAACGTATTGTTAAACATAATATATCATCAATTTGGACCTGTAGCCTTGTATTTATAATACAAGAATGGTTAAAAATTCATTTTAATTTAATGTCGGTAATAAACGGTTAGTGGCGCCGTCAGTGGTGGAACGCCCAAGTTAGTCCTGAATATAGTTCCCTCTTTTGCTAGCAGATGGCGCCACTAACTAATACATCGATAATTATTCCTGCATTTAATAACTATGCACATAAGTGATAAATTAGATGTATTAAGTGATATATTATATTATTATAAAGTAAAGAGTCATACTTATTACGTAATTATCAAAAAAAGAATAATTTTTTTAACGTGTCAGTCGCGCCATCTAGCTGCAGCCGACGGCATACGCAACCGTTTATTACCGACATTAAATTAAAATGAATTTTTAACCATTTTTTTATTATAAATACAAGGCTACAGGTCCAAATTGATGATATATTATGTTTAACAATATGTTAAACTACGTTTATATGTAAATAATTGCAAAATTTATGATTCCTCGCTATGTAGGTTGGAAAACCTTCGACCGCTAGATGGTGATACCGTTCGCCGACACCTTTTTGACCACTCTAGTCAAATGAATGAATGTGAATTATTATAAACAATTCGTAGCTTTATTGGCATAAAAACTTAATATAAATTATTAGCATTTAGTTTATTATTTTTCTGTAATCGACAGCTAGAGGAAGTAGGGAATAAAAGTTGACAATATGATTACATTCATGATACAGATGTTACAAAGATTAATTACAATGCCGTAATTAATATTAAAACTTGATTAAGGCACAGTCCTGAAACCCTGAATGCCTTTGTGATTTATGTTTAAATAATTAAGTTAAATAATTTTTACTTTTGATGTTCGTTGTCTTTACGGCTGATTACAGAATTCTTTTTGTTAACAACAAAAGAAACGCGAAATGTAAAACCTAGACGTGAATTATCCAGAACACCATCTAAAATGGATAGCGATCAAAGTTCAGAAAGTGTTTCTGAATCATCATTAGCTCCTCGTATTTTGACATGATTGGACAGGTTGAATAATAAAATAAATTTGTTACAACTTTGGCCCATTCAATGTAATTATACCGATCAGAGTCTACTATACAATATTTTTGTAAATATCAGCTAACAATATAATAGAACTAACTACCTAAATACAATGTATATATATATTTCTATATGATGATGGTTGTTTACTTGTAATTACTATGCGCCGGTGGGAAATGTATACTAGCGTATGCACAGAACCACACGTTCGAACCCACACGCATCCGTACTTAACATCGGTTATTAGAATATTCCACATGTATGGTTTTCTAAATTCTACTTATCATACATTTTCACGTGATTAATACGTTTTATGCTTTTTTTTTTGTACACTTCTATGTATATACAATCTGAGGTCGAATTATACGTTTTTACGTATACGAATTATACGCACGTACGCCTCATCATTGTGTCGTAATTACGTATACTCTAACACATGACATTGTAAAATTACTAGCAGCTTGTTTTCTTCCCTAATGTTTGAGAAAATACAATCTTATGCATTCTGACGAAACGATTCTTTTTTTCTGACAGTCTCTTGTAAAGTTATATAATCGTTATAGTTATATAATCGTTATAGCTATACAGATGTTAGACAACGCATTTGCGATTCGAGTTAGTATGATAACTGATGATAACAGAATTAAAGGAACCGGAACAAGTTAAATCGTATCGTAAAATTATATTATTGTACGGACACAAGAGCAAAGCAATATTGTCGAATTGCATTATGAAATTAATTTTACATTACGTAATATGTATTCGTACATGATGTTATTAAACTTATAATATTTATGGGTAACACGATGTATAAATACGTATTATGCAAGTTTGCCTTTTAATCGTTCCTATTTAGACATTACGTAGTACAATCATTGTTCAATTTCGAATACATTATAAAACCAACCATCGCTCCCTTGATCGTAATAAAATGTAATAAAATACACGATAAATTTTATATAAAGATCTATTTTATAATACATGTGGTACATAAACGCCAACGCATTGAAATACGAATACAAATAATACTGTTAAAAATCATAAAAACAAAATTTTGCTTGCCAAATTAAGATTAATGGGTACCCAATGCATCTGACTAGAAATTATACTTGCTTCTGCATTTCATTTCTTTGTTCTAATTATATTATCTACATGGTAATAATTCCTAGTAAAATAATACATTTGTAAGTAGTTAGATTCATCCTGCTCTCATTTAAGTTGTCTTTGTAAATCACTTTGGCTTATAGTGAAGGGAATTAACAAGAAACCCTCCGGGAAATGAATTTCAATCATTGGTTGATTACTGTTATCTGCAAGCCTTCCAATTCCAACGCAGAACTAAGTATAAGCTTTGTTTTGTCTGTATATATGTAGGAGTACAAAAGTAAGGATAATTGGCAATGTTTTATTAGAACTGGCATGTAATAATGACACACATATTAGCATAAGATACGTGGTAAATTCTTCTTCATGCATCTGCATAATTAAGAGACTTTTCAAGTGTTTGAAATTCGTCCAAATTCCCAGCATTACCTACACGTTTTGACCCTCGTATCAAACGCATCCTTCCTGAAAGAATGCTCGTTAAACATTGTGCTCTTAATGAATTTCACTAGCGAACAGCTCGGCACTAGTAAACATTGTAATACCACGTTGAAACGACATTTTTCATCGTTTGCATTTCACTCGTTCTCAGTTTGTTAGTCGTCGCGTTATCCCTCGGTCTTTATAAAATTTGTGCCTTTAGAAAAATGGAAGTGTATCGATAGAATACAAATGGTAGAATTTGTTATTCGTACAGGGAGACATTTCTCTTTTTTTTTTCTCTTTTTTTTTGTAATTTAATACCGCGATCTTTGCATTTATACAAATTCTGTTGCACGTTTAGTCGGAGTTCAGGTATTCTTCCTAGCTGTTAGATAAACTCAATTGCCCAACGAAAAGTACGTAACGTACGGTGATTCTTTTTCAAAACTCTATAAAATTCTTATACAAGAACACGGTTTTTGTTGTTGTTGTTGTTGTTGTTGTTGTTGTAATTTACCTCTGTTTCCACGATTAATTTTACAGATACGGTCACGATATATAATATGAACATTGTGAACAAACGAGCGTATTCCACATTTACCACATTGTTTAGAATATATTTAATTATTTACTGCTGGTTTTAGAGTCTATGGTTTCATTTAACCGACTTACAGTTAATAACACTTTTATGTCATTGAAGGTATTGTCTATTATAAAGTTACGAGTGTTACACCTGTTGAGGCAGCGGTCACAAACGGTGAACTTCAAACTGTGTGTCTTGTTTGCTTGTTTTTTTTTTTTATCGAATCGTAATACATGTATTCTTAGCTTTCCAAGCCAATAAACGTTTCTCAATTCTATGAAATGGAAAAATAAAAGACCTGCCTTTTCGTGATACGCGATGGTAAGTTATACACCATCGACGATCCTTAAAACCGATCACACCGGGTATTATCACTGCGTTATGTACAGAACATTATCGTAAAAATAAAGAAATAACGTTTTATGGAGTAGCAATTACGGTTAAAACGTAATACAAAAGTGTAGCAGTAGGAGTAATACACGGTATAGATATATAATTTTTTTTTTTTTTGGTAAATCTGATAAATATTAAATCTTATATTTTTCCATTAACAATATTGACATCTTGTAT